ACCACAATGTCTTATTTCCTCACCCACCTTATGTTCACACCCATCATAAAAAGACAAAACACACATAAACTCTTTCCCCACCCACCATTATTCCCAAAATAACCCTATATATTTTTTCTCCCAATTTTCCTTGCTTTAAAAAATTTATTATAATTTAACAAAAAAGAAAATTATCATTAAACAAATATACCCAACAACTCCAACTCCAAATATCACAGTAGTCCCCAAAAAATTCCCAGAACCGTCACTATCAACACAACCAAACCTCAGCCCAACCACCTCCCCCCCCCCCAAAAAAAAACACACCTAGCACCCCTCCTCGCCCAAAATCCTTGATCGCCCTCAACGGCGTGTTTTTGGAATCGGGAGATGGTTCTCGAGTCCCTATTTGATCGAGTCGTTGAAGGATCGCAGAGGAGATCAGTGGACGAGATGGGCTTGTCGTCCAAGCCGAGCACATCCTTGACGAGTTTGGCGAAGGTCTCAGCCATGGCAAGCGAGACAATCGGTGAGAAAGCCAATGCATAAGAGAGAGGGAAGGAAGAAGAAGCAATAGTGTTTGGGGTTGAAGCACTAAGGTAGGAAATTAAAATGGGGTGAAGTTATGGAGGCTGAGGTCGGGGAGGGTGGTGGTTATGGGGTTCTTCAAGCTTTTTTTTTTTTTTTTTTTTAATTTCATTTTTACGTTAAATAAGTTTAAGTCCAGCTGTATAATAATTGTATGTGTTAAATTTTGAGTGGAAGTTATGTGCTGATGTGGTAAAACTAATTAGCTAATGATTTATCCTAATCGTGGAGGTGAAGAGGCTTGTGGTAAGATATGATTGGTTGGTTTTTAAGTCTTTGAAGGTCATTTTATACAAGGACAAATTTGTCAATAAAATTATTATTTTAAAGTGGGTGAAGTGATAAGACATTGGGATGGGCTTAGTAGCACTCATTATTTATTGATTTTATAGAAAAATAAAATGACGCAAAAGCAAGTAGGATCGTTAAGCACAACACATAGTTAACATCCTTTCATAAGAAAATTGAGATTTCACCCTAAAACTAGTAAGCAATGAGGGAGTAAACCAACTCCTTATATGACCCTTAAACTTTTGTAATTTTCCAATGTTGGATTGACATTTTCACCATTATTGATCGGCTGTGAGCCTCCAAATTCGGGGACCTGATTTCAGACACTAGAAATCAAGTCTCCAAAATTTTCTAATTAAAAATCATTTCCATGAGTTGCGCTACATTTATCATGTATTTTGTATCATCCCTCTAGTAGAGGTAAGGCCCACCAACACACGTGAGTCTATCTCTATTAGAAAAATCATATAAATAGATGGTAAGAATAACATTTTTGAATTTCCATGAGAATAATTTCCCTTTTTTTTTTTTTTTTTTTTTTCTAATGGCAATTGTATTTGTATTTGGCACTTGCCTTGCAGATCAATTAACTAGACTATCTTGGCCACGTCAAATGGGAGATGAGATTAAAAGGAGTCTCTTGGTAAAAGAGACTGGTGTTGGAGAAGAGGAGACTAGAATTATTGATGGCGATGAAGAATTGTCACTGAAAAGAAGGGTATGGATTGAAACCAAGAAGATGTGGGTGGTGGCTGGCCCTGCTATATTCACCAGAGTTGCGACTTTCGGAACAAATGTCATCAGTCAAGCGTTTATCGGTCACATTGGTTCTGCGCAGCTAGCGGCTTTTTCACTCGTGTTCACCGTACTTGTCAGGTTCGCAAATGGCATCTTGGTATGTTTATTTTGGCTCCCTTTACTATTTCTATTATTTGATCTTGTTTTGCACATGTTCTTGGGGACAGTTGCAATCCTCATGCTACTCTCGATTTCCTTTCGCAGTTTTTGAACTTCACGGTGAATTAGTTTGAAAGAAGTTGCATTTAAAGCAGATAGAGCTTTGTTTAGTGCTAAAATCTTCAGTTTATAAGCAGTTAAAGTTTTAGTGTTTTGTGTATGTATCAAATACTAGTTCTTCGAAGACCAGCCATTGCTTATTCGTCAAGTTTTCTTTACTTTACAACTTGTCATGTGATCTATGTATCCCAACTTGTAACCGAAAAATGTTTTAACCCCAACCACACTTTGGTTTATCATTTTTTTTCCGAATTGTAGATGCAATGTGAGATAAGCATTATCTTCTAGTGGCTACCATACCAATTAGTTCACGAAGTTATCTGCTCGACGAAAACTTAACCCAAACATCTAGGCTTATCCGTGTGATCTGACTGATCAATGTTTCTGAATCTATTACTCTACAGCTTGGCATGGCAAGTGCGCTGGAAACTCTCTGCGGTCAATCATATGGTGCAAAACAGTACAACATGCTTGGGATACATCTTCAGAGGTCATGGATAGTACTGTTTGTAAGCACATGCTTACTTATTCCTCTTTGCGTCTTTACAACCCCAATTTTTGAGGCTTTAGGCCAAGCAGAAAACATTTCAGAAATTGCAGGATATATTTCCCTATGGGTAATCCCTGTGCTTTTTGCATTTGTGGTATCATTTACCTGCCAAATGTACTTACAAGCGCAAAGCAAAAATATGATCGTTGCATATGTGTCAGCGATTTCAATTGGAATCCACATCTTTCTTTGCTGGCTTTTGAGTGTGAAATTTAAGTTTGGGGTTCCCGGTGTAATGGTGTCAACGCTTATAGCATATTGGTTACCGAACGTGGGTCAGCTTTTGTTTGTTCTATGTGGAGGATGCCCCGAAACATGGACAGGCTTCTCTATGTTAGCTTTGACTGATCTCTGGGATGTCCTCAAGCTTTCTCTGTCATCTGGCGTTATGCTTTGGTAAGAATTTCTACTTGTTTCGGCTTTTATTTTGTACCTTATACCTTAGGTTCTTTAAGTACGCGCGTATAAGTTAATATAATTTTACTGAAGTTGGTCATTGAGAATATCTGCATAGAGAGCTTTCACATACACACAAATCACATATAGGTGCTTCTAACGGATTTTTCATTTAGTCTCGAGCTTTGGTACAACACAATCTTGGTCCTTTTAACTGGAAACATGGAAAATGCTGAAGTTTCTATCGATGCCCTATCTATTTGGTATGTTTTAGAGCCTTCCTCTTCCTTGTGATCCTAATCTCTGATCATCCAACTGTTTCCAATGCTAAATGTTTCCGGCATTAACGGCAGCCTTAACATCGTCGGGTGGGAAATGATGATATCTCTTGGTTTCCTCGCTGCAGCAAGGTACTATTATTTTTCTTGTTCTTCAGAAAATTGTTCTCTGCAACCATGATAATAATCATTTAAGATCTTCACCGTAGCAATGCCTCACTTTTGAATCTACGCTTTGTTTCTTCGACATATTCCTAGAACTTCATATGTTTGCATGTAATGTAATGTTGTACTGAAGTGTGCTTGAAATCTTTCACTAGTGTACGGGTGTCGAATGAGCTTGGAAGGGGTAGCTCAAGGGCGGCAAAGTTCTCGATTGTAGTTATTGTGTCGATCTCGGTAGGCATTGGATTGGTGCTTTTCGTGCTTTTCTTGTTCTTGAGGGAACAACTTGCATACATTTTCACCGACGATGAGGCTGTAGCTAAAATGGTGGCTGAGTTGTCTCCTTTGTTGGCCTTCTCCATACTGTTGAATAGCGTTCAACCCGTGCTCTCTGGTAAAATCGCCATTTCCCTGAAATACGCAGGCATAGCTAAATAGATACCTCAAAGAAAGCAGTTTCCTTTGTGTCTTCAAGTATCGGTTGAGGTAACCATTACCAGCATTTGACGGCACGAAAGGAAGACATGAAAGAAATCTCGACTAGTTAAATAAGTACATTGCAGTTATCAAAAACATTTCTGCTTCCAAAGGAACGTATTATAAATCTTGAAGAGTTTATAACGTAGTTAATCTTTCACCTACAGGAGTTGCTCTGGGAGCTGGATGGCAGAAATATGTAGCATATGTGAACCTAGCCTGCTATTACATCGTAGGGATTCCTGTTGGAGTTGTGCTTGGTTATCCTCTAAAAATGCAAGTCGAAGTAAGCTCCTCTGTCTATCTTCTTCTCACTTAATCTAATTTTTGTTAGGGTCCGTTTGAGGGGTCCTCAATACCGGATTTTGATACTGAAATTGGTTAGTAAAACAATCGTTTTCAGTTTTCATAAAAAGTGAATGAATACTGAAAACAAAATAGTTATCAAACGGCCCTACTAAATTACTTCAATAATCGTCGTGTTTTCTCCTCGATTTGCTTTTTGGATTAGCTTATTTTATGAATCCTCTTCTGCAGGGTGTTTGGATTGGAATGTTGTTTGGAACATTGGTCCAAACTATTGTGCTAATCATACTCACCTACAAGACTGATTGGGATAAACAGGTAGAATGAATATTTGATTGTTTTCTTCGCATCCTTCGCTAAAATTAACATGACATACAGAAGAACCTTTCTTCACATCCAAGAAACTAAAACTTCTATCAACATCGACAGGTAGAAATAGCTCGCGACCGCGTTAACAGGTGGGATCGAACAAATAATAGAGAATCCAACACCGACACGTGAAATATCTGATTTTTATCGTTCTTCAGTTGTTATGTTCCTGCCACAAGAAAAGACGCATAGAAGAGGTATAGCCAACACACGGAGGATGTTTTGGAGAGTTTACATTACATTGCATTGTCCTATCAATTTTCTTCAATTCAACAACCATCATTTATGAAATTTGAAATGCGTATCATTTATGAAATTTGAAGTGCGTTACCATGTTCTGAGTAGTCTAGGTTGGAAATAAATGAAATGTCTATTGGCATTTGTTTTTTTTATCAAACTTTCACTAAAAAGAAAACAAGTGAAACTTCGACAGAAGCAAAAGGGGGGGGGGGGTAATCGTCCCTGATAGCTCGAAGCTCCTCCATAGCCAGAAGTGGCTAACAAAAGCAGGAGGGGGAAGAGAAAATCGCCCGACCTCCGATCTAGTTGCATGGAGGACAGGGTAGACCATCACGAGATAAGACTTGAACCAAAAAGGGAGGGGGAACCCAAACTATCCGAGATCTTCGTGAATGATAAGGAAAGTATTTTACATTGGTAACCTTACTGGATTTTCCAGATAGAATTTCATCTATGATATTACAGATGGTGAGAACACTAAAGTAAAGAATTGCTTTACAACAGAGAAAGGATCATCTTCTCAACAGATTGTATGCTGGTAAATCTTTTACACTGGAGACATCTTCGAGTGCTAGCTCGCGTTCTAACTGACTTGTCGTAGACTTCATGACATCCTGGAAAAAATTAAAACAGAATCAGAATCAGAAGAATGCAGTGCTTTGTATCTTAAATTTGCAGGTGGAGCGACAAAATCATTTACGTTGAAGTCCATATAAGAAGCACGCTTTACAAGCCATTGAGCATCCATCATCTGGAAGGCTACACAATAAAGGTTATCAAATGCCATCTCATCTTCTTTAAGCAGTTCCAGAAAACGGATTCCAGCCAAAGTAGTTGGCTTTGCTGCAAGAGAAATATATCTGATTATTTCTTTATAAACACAGCATCAGCATTCAGAATTTGGTGGAGGAATAAAAGAACTTTTCAGATAAACATGCTAAGATGAAGCTTTCTCATCGAATAGTTATCTAACACTACAGGATCGTCCATCCTCTCACTTGAAAATTTATCGGTACCTGATTGAAGATCCAACATTTTTGCCAAGACAAAAGAAATATTGATGCCAGCTACAGCAAAGGGATATTCCCACTCAGCTCTAGTTCCATCTTGCTTGTGCAACAATCTCTGGAATGATTCCTGTAAGAGGATCAAATCAGAAATTCATTAACCCTTTCATGACTTCTGCGGAAACACAGAACAAAATGAATACTTAATTACAATACAAAATCTTGCACGCCATTTCCAAAAGAAAGCAATATTTTGACACCCATACGCATTGAAGCATTGAAAGGAACTCTTTGTATGCATATGCACATGCATCAAAGCCTAACAAAATTAACGCCAGCGCTTCTTGTCATGTAATGTATGCAATAAGCTAGAAGGTTTGAATATACAAGAGAACTGTAAGACAGATGCTGGGAAACACAGAAGATAAACAGCCATAATAAGAAAGAGTCAATCTGAAGGAAGTTGTATTATTCTAGTTAGAACGAAAAGAAAAATCAGCATCTCCTTCCAGCACTTAACCCAATAGAAAACAGTCCCAGCATCCAAAGCCAAAAGCATTTCTCCCATGTAATACAATGAACTCAAACCCTTCTTTTCTTAGACGTGAAGATAATAATGGGGACTATTAATTCACCAAATCATAAAAAAGGGCGAGACTTCGAGTTTACCACAGCGATGGCATCCAAAACAGAGCCTTGATACCACCGCTAAAAAAGTAGGATGCTAAAAATCTACCCCTGCCACAATATTCGTTGACATTTCTGTAACTCTGAGCACTCAATCTACTGATATCCCAGACAAGGCCGATATTTTCATCCTTCCCACAGAGACTACTCTAAAATTGAAGGCAACTGAGGAAAATTTCCAACTTCAGAATCATTAATATCAGTGAAACCCAAAATTTCATATGCTGAGACGATTCTCCACTCAGCCTTGGAATGAAAAGTTTAGTTATGTAGCAATCAGTGTTCATTTGCAAGTCATAAGACAAATCTTTGACTAGAAAAATAAAATCACATTAATTATCAGAACAGTTAAAGGGCCAAAGAATTTCAAGCTTAATGAATTAAAGGTTTTTTTTTGTCAAATTAATGAATTAAAGGTTACAAAAGAAAACACTAGGATAAATCTTGAAGTAACAGGAAAATATATAATTGAAAAAAAATAATAATAAGTTAGAAGGAGACAAACCGGATACTGTCGGGCAAAAAAGATAAGATTCTCCAATGATATAAATCCCCCACCTCTACAAATAAGGTTGGAAATTTATCGTTATCATTTTTTTTTTTTTCACAAAGAACATATGAAAAAACAAAAATACATGCGACTCACTTCACGATACTTTTATCTTGTTTAAACCACGTACCTAAAATCTGTTGAAGGGTCTGAACCTTGCCAGCCCATCTGTTTCCAAAGGTCTGATTGAAGAGGTGGGAGCTCCTTATCCAGATAAGCCAACCTCCATAACTCTAAGAGCGCATCCTGCAATCAACGAACTCAATTTGTGTTTAATATTGAAATAAAAAAAATTAAATTAATTACTTCAATGTCCAGTAATAGTACAGACAACCCTTGTATTTTTAAAAACTATTCGGACATTGATTACAATATATATATGTATGTATGTACGTACGTACGTATATGTACACACTCACTCACACATATATATAAAAGGTATTCTTCTTTATTTACAAAAACAATGTTCAATGTTTTCCCAATTTCTTCATGGAGACTGCATCCAGAATTCGTATGAGAAGAATACCAGGGGTGCACATCTTGGACTAAAGTTAAACAAACAATCTAACTGTAAATACTTAAATTTCTCTGAACAAAGAGCATAAGTTTAGACATTTTGGGCATGAAAGGCCAGCCAAAATCAAAGAAAATAATGATAATAACAAACCAGAGTATACAGTAGTACTTGTAACACCAACAGAAAAATGATCAAAATGCTGTCAAATGGGAAAAAGACCTACTTGATGCTCCATGCGAGAACCATCAAAGGGTACTTGAAGCCTTTGTCGTAGATATCTGAGTCTTGCTTCCTAGAGGAGACAAATACCCATGCAAGTGAACACCATATTAAAAAAAAGTTATATTATACAATCCATACAGATCAATGATGCATAAACAGTATAATAGTAGTCATCCCATTGTTCCAAAGATCAATATAGAAGACATGTTCTCCTAACAACTAAAAATCAAATTGAGGGTCAAGAGCAACAAAGAGATCTACTATAAGGAATTACACCATCCTCAAAGCCCAAAGCCAAAAGAAAAATGAGAAACTACCAGCTTCCAATAACAGATCATATTTTCATCACATATCAACCCGAAAGTGATGAAGTATTCAATAGTTCATTTTGATCCCCAACAGTTAGCAAGCCAAAATCATCTAAGTTTCAAATTCATATATTTAAATTTTAAACCAGCCCACACTCCTGAAAGTGTAAGAAGATAGAGAGCTTATAAATGAGCCCAGACCCCTTGGGTATACCCCAAGAGCAAAAATATATATCATAAAGATATAGACATTTCATTCTCAGAAGGATATCAAGATCAGATCACATACTTGCAGAGGACTAAGGGGAGAAGCAAACAACTTAGCGCTTGCTCCATTTTGTGTACTTGTAAAGAAGGTCAAAAGCCGTCCAATAAGCGATCCAGATCCAAGAACAATACTTGCTACAAAGAGAAAACCATAAAGAATTAAGTTCCAAAACTAAAAGTATATTCCCACTGTCTATATTACAGAGCAAAATTCACATGGTATAAACAGTAAAATGATCAGGATCCGAAGTATGAGGAATGAGCTATGTCATATTAATTTTAACTATATATAACTCCTCAATAGAGTGTTGAATGATCCTCAGGGTACTTTTAACTCGTCCAACGAATATATTGCCACTCTTTAGGATATTTCCCTTAATTATAGGTTGCTTATTAAGTGGTTAACTTTCTAAGAATAATTCCATAGTAAGGTCAAGAATGGCAGAAACTTCAAGGTTGCTGTTTATTTGGTTACATCATGTTCTAAAAATTTGGCCGTATAATGCCCCATCCCTTACGAGCAAAGTTGAGGAATGATTTTCCAGTAAAAAGGTAAGGTCTTATTGACAACAAAAATAATGAATACCTAACCACTGTGCCCACTGTGCAATCAACTGAGAAAACAGAAGGGTCCAATGGAGGTGTTCCTTTCTCCGCTCATCATCCCAGATCTCTTCAAGTGTCGTTTCCTATGGCGCATCTCAGAAAGATATCAATCACAAAAAGGCCAAAAATAACTATTACCGGTAAAAAAAAAAAAATCCCACCCTCCATGTAAATGAACAAATAAAAGCCTCACCTCTGCATGCCTATCTGAATAATTCCCCAATAGAGGCGCATTAAGATCATCTGCCTCCGACGTCTCCAAATGTTCTATCTTTTTCCCATCAACATCCCCATGATGAAGCCTTTTCCTCAAAGTTCGTGATGTCATGGCGCTTCCTATATAATCAGACTGCATTTCCAAACAAACCATCCCATCAATCGCATTGTTACGAGCCAACCGCCGAATCTGTCACACAATGGCTAACAACCCAAAACCAGAATCTCTCCAAATTTCCTTTAAAGCAACAACTTTCCATGAAATCGAAGACCAAGCACTTTACTTAACATTCAACCATTAAACAAGTGCAATTTCACACTAATCCACTACTGCATACAGTCCCAAAGGTACTGAGATACACCCACAAATTTCAAATTCATAAACCCTAACAATGACAAAACTCGGATTCAGTTCGGAATATCAAATGGGTTTGTACCATCTTCCAATTCAAAGCCAAAAACCAAGTTTACAATAGCAAAAACGAAGAAATATCAACAAATCAAAAATTGAAGAAGGAGAAGACAGAGATATGTTGACGCCTCACCTTACGTTACCAATGGCTTCCGCAGACGATCCCAACAAAACTGAATAGACTTTCGCTCTTCTGTGATTTCTGTGCTGAAAATCAAAACGAATAGCATGCTCTTCTGTATGTGACTATTCTTTAGCCAGAACTCTGAAAAAATCAAAAAATTGTATATCTATCGATTCTGTGTATGCATGTGTATGTGTTTATTCAGAGTATTTGTATTCGTGAAGACGACTTTCTGAATCCGGAGTTCAACGCCAATTCAATGCGTGCACCGCCGACGTGACGTGCCTATAACGTTTTAAAGCTTGCGCCTTGTTTCCTTTTTCTGTCTTAAAACTATTAACCCAATTAAGCTTATGGCCATGTCCAACCAAAATGGTAAATTTAGCTCCGTTTTGAAATATAGTTCTACAAAAAAAATATTTTTAAATAAATAAAATCAGGTCATATTCGTATATTATCTCCAATCGAATGAATTAAAAATAGCTGCCTCAATAATTTATTAGTAAGTTTATACTTTAAATTTATTGGTTAGTTTAATTAAATTACCTTAGCCAAATAATGGGATAAGAAGGGGTTACGTTTGGACAGTTTGATGCTCCTTTAGCCAAATAATGGTGTGACAGTCTCTATAAAATTATAGTTCAGTCATCGATTGGAGATGAGTATTTGGGCAAATCATATCAATTTTTTGGTTTTTGAACCTTTAACTCTCTCCATTGGAGATAGCCTAATGATTTACAATCACACATGTGTTATAGACTTGTTATTTATTTTTCGTTAAAGCTAGGTGAAAGTTATGGGAAAGTTATAGACCAATTTTAAATTTTATCCTTGTTTACATGCCCATGCACTATGACAATTTTCCGCTATACACGAAGTGAAATTAGTGTTATTATTTTACTTGTATTATAACATGCGTGTAACTAGAAGTGGGGCGTATATAACTCTGTCGCCTAAATATACCATAGCACATGGATTAGTACACCATGTGTTTAGTGTTCTCAGTTCATATAAAATTTCTCAAATAGGGTGAAAACTCATTTTCTCTCCATAATTCGCAATTGTCTGATTTTGTTCGGTGTGTTGTCATTAGTCTCCCATGTTACTCCGTTCTTTTAAGTTGTTCAAGAAAATCGTTAACTCGACTGAGGTAGTGTCACATCCCAAACTCGTCTCAGATGTAGCACGATATTGTCCTCTTTGGGCCCCAATCACACCCTCACAGTTTTGTTTCTGGGAACTCACACGAGAACTTCCCAGTAGGTCACCCATCCTGGGATCGCTCTCACCCAAACTCGCTTAACTTTGGAGTTCTGACGGAACCTGAAGCCAGTGAGTTTCCAAAAGGGCTCGTGTTATATGGAGGTGGGCATGTACATATAAAAGCACATCACCCTCTCTGTTGGTCGATGTGGGATGTTACAATTCACCCCCCTTAGGGGCCCGACGCCCTCGTCGGCACACTCACACCACACACTATCGTACAGGTTGCAATCATAAGCAACTCCGACACTGTTGTACATGTTGCTTCGACACTGTCGTACTTGTTGCAATAATAGGCAACTATGACACTGTCGTACAGCAAGATTGATGAGCACCTGATTTTATTATGCTGCTACTGATATGTAATGATTTGGAATATTTCTGGATTTACTGTTGATTTACATTTGATTTCATACTTATACGTAGTATGATTTTCTAGAAACTATACAGGCTTTACAGCAAGGGGTTATAACGTTTTCAAAAGGTTTTTATTAAAACTTTATTTTCAGGCTCACTCACCCTTGTTTTTCGCCCCTCCAGGTTTTAATAGCTGAGCTTTCTTATCAACGATGATTCGTGGTAAATCTTGGTATTGGAGATTACCTTCAATGGTATGATTCTCAATCCACTCTACTGTACTTTACTTATGCTTTGACATCACATGTGAAATGGGTTCACTTCCGCTCACAGCGCACTCTTGTATTTAGGCACTTTTAGGTTTAAATTCATTCACATTTTCCACCTCACTACACTTTATGACTTTGTCATCTTCTAGGTATCGGCCAGAACAACTCGATTCGGAGTCCTAATGAACAATCCGGGTTGAGATGTGTTAGGTCGAAACTTCACATTTTCTTCATTTGGTTTTATTTACACAACGATCAAGTTCACTGACCTCCCCAACAAAATGGGTTGCAAGAGAGGAAAAATAAGTTTATTTATACATTTAAAATAGTACATAACAACTTGTTTAGAATGTCAATAACGCGTTGCTTTTTTGTTTTAATTGTAATTTAGAATTTAAAAAAGACAGCTTACTCAACAGCTGCAACTTCCTAACCAATTATATTTGTCTCTTTACTTTTATTTGCAAGATACGCTATACCTTCAACAATGGTTTGCTTGCTCCAATAAAAAAGTAGATGCTAAACCTTCCTTGTATTGTAATAATAAACAAATCTCCCAACTTTTCTTTGTTTGCTCCTCACGAATTCTCTCATTTTCCAAAATATATTACCGAGAAAATAAAAAATACTTCGTTGGATGTGTGAGCACACGAGAAATGATAAGAACGAGGATATCCGAGGTAAAGTAAGAGTGCCCACAATTGAAGATAAGATGTGAAAATTAATTAAGATGGTTTGGACACATAAACCAAAGACCTATAAATGCTCCAATTAGAAGATGAGACTATGATATGGAGGCTCACGGCAAAAGAAGTAGAAAAAAACCTAGAAAGACTCAAAAAAGAGACTTCAAAAAAAAGATACAGAGCACTTGCAGCTCATGAAAAACATGGCGCAAAACCGATCCATGGATTTTAAGATAAAAATAAAACAAGTTTTACTCGAGATTAAATTGATTAACGCATATAATAATGTCGCTTAACTATCACTATAATTTGTAACTACTATATAAAGCACAATTCTAACCAACAAAGCATCATCCCACTAGTGAGGCGAGTCGACGAAACAATGTCCCAACAGCTCTGCATCCGAGAATACTCCCCGTCTTAACGTCGACCAGGAAGCGGCCTCTCGAGGCAGCTCAAGAAACACTAACAAGGGAAAGCACATCCAATATTTAAAGTACACATTTAGTAATATGCCCCAAACGCTGTTTACAACGCCAAGTAAGTTTGCACAGGTACATTCAAGTTAGGCACTTCATGTCAAACCGAAACATAGCTACCACCAAATTTACGTTCCACGACGCATCAAAGGACTCCGTGCATAAATTGGCAAGGGGGAGATGGACCTAGGTGTTGTGAGGACAGACGCTATTCTCTACTAATTTACATAACAACACAATGCCTCTGAGAAATTACACCGGCTCCATAGATTTCCAAGAGGATCTTGTCACCAAAAGTTGTGGGTACCTTCGATGGTTTTGCCCACGATCCAGGATAGGAGATTCTGACTAGGTAAAATAAACAGAACTTACTGTCGAGGTACTACTGGCTGCGTATTTGACTGATTACTTTGCCCGTAGAACCCCATACCCAGTGGCCGATAATAACCCCCAGCAGCCGGCTGCAACTGCTGCTGCTGCTGAGGCTGCGGCTGCTGTTGCGGCGGACTGGGCCTTGACATACTCATTGAAATATGTGGAGGTATAGGCGGTGGAGGCGGTAAGGCATTTGATCCATATCCGTAAGGAATTCCACCCACCATAAGACCAGAAGATTGGACATATTGATTCGATGGTGTAGTTGCAGTAGATGGTGATGGTGCCGGAGGTGGTGGCAGCGGACTAAAAGGACTTTGCATCTGGTTACTGTGGGACATAGGCTGCATGGTTGCTGATGACGCGATTGGAACACTGGTCATTGCCTGCTGTTGGAGAGGCGTAAAAAAGGCTGCATTGCCACCATCAGGATTGTTACCATCAGACATTTGTTTCTCAAGCTTGGGCCGTTTTTCTGGAGGAAACATGGATAATCCTGATGTAAAACCAGCTGATTTCAGGCTACCAGTCATAGAGGCAGCTTCTTCAGCAACAAGAGATGAAAGAACAGACGTTAACATCTGTGCAGAAGAGGTAGATGCAGCAAGCTTAGCAGCCACAGCAGCTGCTGCTGCTTTCTTGTTCTCTTCATCGGTAGTTTTTACAGGGGCAAAAGAAACCATAGGCTGCATTGGAGGCTGAGGTGGGAGGCCAGTTTGTTGGACTAATGGTAAATTTGGTTCCAACCCCCTGGTAGATTCAGGTGTCGTGTTAACAATATTGCTTTCGGGGTTCAGAACCAGGGGCAAACTCAGTCTCCTTTTAATATTACTTACTCTCTCAATCTGATGTCGAGCAACCTGCATGGAAACAAAACAATCCTGTTAATCGCAAAGAGTAGCTAGTACAAAGGGAATTGCATTATAAGATGTGGTTTGATATGCTCTACTCCAAACCAACTTTATACACAGAAAATTAGTTTGCGTCTCCTAATCTTGAAATGGCCAATTTACAACTCTAAACTAATTTTGAAGTTCAGTGGACTGCAAATTTGGCATGTAAATTATCCAACCCACCTGAAAAAAAATTTAAAAAAAAATAGTTCCTATATATACATCACAAACATAGAATAAGCTGCTGGAGTTTGGACAGCCAGCATTCAAGGCAACACGCCATATACACGCAATTTCGCATTTACGCGCCAACATTTAAGCTCTTCCAAGCCAAGTACTTGATGCATAAAAGTAGGAGAACTTTAACGAAAAGCTCCCGGTACTGTTCACTTTAACGAAAAACCACATTTTTACACTAAAAAGTCAATCATGGTACTATTCACTTTACCCTTTATTTTGTCCTTATAGTTAAAACTCAAAGTTTTCAAGCCTTTTTCATTAGTTTTCCTTAAAAGTAATTCAAAAAATACAAAACTGTGATCTTGGCACGTCACTAATTGTCAACTCCTCTATGATCATCAATCCCTGGGAGATATATTTCTCTTTAATCAACAGTTAGATAAGAGATCAAATTAAATTTAAACAGTGTTCAATCAACGGCAATGAATAATTGGAAATTGGCAGGCAATTGCTAGAAAATATTTGTACTGCTATAATTCAAATAACAAAATCATACTTTGAAATTGTGGTTTAATAAATTAAAAAATGTATTTTTTCTAAATTGTTTAAATAAAACTGGATGCATTTTTAACTATCTGCCTGTCCAGTGGGAGAATATAAGTTCCAAGATGAAAATGCAAATTTAACATCCCAAATTTAACATTTTACCACTGGAGCAAAATAGTTTTGCATCTTGGAATATTCTCATGAAGATGACACCGGAGATGTAAAAGGCCTATTTACATCCTCGGTTTTACATCTTTGCACTGGAGTTGCCCTAATCTTTAAAAAAATAAGCGTTAATGGAAAGAAATTTAGGGTTTCCTGCTTGTTTGTGAGCCACAACAACCTTGGAGTGACACCAAGGCACCTTCGGTGCGAGGCTGAAGGCCAGCGTGATGCCAAAACATTTCCAGAAATCAGTAAAATTAACTCAATCATCCCTAAACAGTAAACACTAGGGTGTTTACAACCTACACTGACTATTTCTTCACACTATTTAACGTAATTTGTGCAGAATGTCTATATCCATGGGTGGTTGTTTCCAAAAAATAAAATTAAAAGATTGAATTTGCTTCTCAGAGATATGCAGAAAAAGGAGCCAAGGGAAACTTACCCCCTCCCCTCCCCTCCCAACCAAAAACAAATACATTCAATAACTCCAGCAAAATAACCTCCGCCCAACCCTAGCTAAGTCCCAACTTAGGATAAATTTTTGTGTACCCAGAACACATAGCGGTACACCACATGTCATAATATAAGTGAACGACATGGTTGATATGTCCCACTTTTAGGGTATATTTCTCATGTCCCTTCACTTATATTATGACACGTGGTGTGCCACCTTGAATTCCGGGTACACTGAAAAATCTCTCCCAACTTCGAGTGGAAAACTCTCTGATCTTTATCATTGCCAAAGCCTGATATAAAGGCCACAAGAAAAGAAAAAAATTCTAAATTATGAGGAATGGTATTGGCCATATTTTATGTACATTTAAAAAACGAGTTTAAAGATCATTTTATTTTATCAACCTACAAACTCAACGAAATAATATTTCTATTTAAAGTCCTAAAAAATGAACATACAGTTGGACGGGAAAAGATTATTAATCAAAGATCTTAGAAATTTATACTTTCTAAAGCCTACATTTTACTTATTTATTTTCTTTTAAAAAGTCATCTGAGAGTAAGCCAAAAAATGATGCATATTGATGACATTATGACAGATACAAATTCTGTTGAAATTTTCTGCAGAAATTTAAAGTCGTTGTACTTTTTAGTCAAAATTAAAATTTTCTGTCAATTCAGTATTACTTCTGTTCTGGGAATTTAATATGCTTCTATACAAGTTTGTTTCTCAACTCTTCTCAAGATTATGATAACTAGAACTTGTTTATGCAAAAGGACCAAAGATAATACACAAGCTAAAACAAAGCCGCTTAAAATATTAGTTGCCTCGCATAGAGACCTAGAACTGATACAGGACAGATTTGAACTGAACTGACTTGGGTTAAGATTAGAATTGACATGGGAAAGAGTTGAAGCAAACAAAAGAAACAAGAGAAAGAGCATATGCATCAAAATACAAGCTAGTATCACTAACCGCCTACACTCTTGACAGCCATCATAGTTAATTGTGTAGGATATGTGCACATTTAAATGCATATGTTAATTAAGACCTAAGGTTCTGCTACAATATACATGCATATAGGAGTAACATCAAGATTCAGTTTTCCTACGGTTTAGTTTACTGTCAAGCAAACATTTTCCTACAAAACACCACCAAATTAATTCTTATTCTAACGACAAACATCATCTAGCCGTTTCAATCAATAGATCTCAACATTTGAGGAATGCAGGAATCAAACTCAAGACTTCATTATCAACAGAATCAAGGCATTGAGTTGATGATACCACAATTTCTATTAGCTATAAAGATTATGAGGAACTGACGTTGACAACTAGTTGATCTTGATAACATTCAGTGATAAAACCCCTTGTAAATCAAATTATAAAGACTAGGTATATGCCCACCATTTCCAAGAGAAAGAAAGACTTCTTAATTTTAAGAGGGGCAATTGAAGTTTAGTTAGCTACTTTTACCTGCAATTGAGTGCGAACCACTTCCAGCTTTGCTTCCTGTAAATATTAGCATTTAGTCATCAATATCTGAAATCTTAAACAAAGCCACACAAGTGATAACATGAGTGGAATAGAAAAAAAAATTGTACTTGATCCTGAAGAGCTTCTTTGAGTTGCAAAACCAAGGCAGATCTTGTTGCCTCCAAGCTCTCAAGTTGCCCAACAGATTGATTAAGTGCATCTTCTTGCTCTTTCAAATCATCCAACAGTGTGGATCCCTGCTGAGTTCCTGATTACACAGTTTAGAACGGGAAAATCAATAAAACTATTCTACATGGCACTAAAATACATCAGGAGATGTTCAACAAATTTAACACAAGACCAGTATCATGTTTACTGAAAGCATCAAAGAGTTCAACCATCTACATTACATTACATGCATGAAAATCTAAACAGTGTAAATATCAGCATACATATCAAATAAAGGGATTTCTTTGATCTTAAGGTTCTCGATGGAATACTTATATTTTCAAATCCATCATATTATTTTCAAAATTCAGCAATTTAATTTTTTCAAATAATACCTTTTAGATATCGCAATCATAAATAATATCATATAGCAACTAACTGTTTTAGAGTTCCTCAAATAACTTAAATCAGCATAGGGAAACAAAACATACACAAGGATAGATGTGGATTCAATGCCTAGCAACTTGCTATTCTACTTACACGGTCATTCCTAAATAGTAATACACAGAAAGGGATACTCATTTTAAATGATACTTGTTTTAGGATTTTTTTATTTCTAAAGTTTGAAACTTGCAATTGTTACTCCTAGAACGACGCTCGAGACGGACATGGTAAAAGACTAGGATGAGATTATTCCAGGCCAACCTATTAATAGTAATAGCAGCCAGTGTACTAGCTTGATTAATCAAATAAACCAATTCAATTTGCCCCTAGCAGTCTATCGATGCTGCAGAATTTACATCCGAGTAAAAGAATAGACAGAGTCACAGAGCCTTTTGGAAATACAACTCATGAAAAAAAAAATGAAAATGCAGTAATGCACACAAAATAACTTGGACAATGAACCAATAGTGTGACCAAAAAAAAAGAGAGGAGAGCTTGTCATTCTGATGTGAGACTTTTTCAATCACTTGGCAGAGATTAATTAAACCTCTTTAAGACTAGGAAACAAGATAAGTTGCTACTTTTAATTTATCTAGTCATTGGCTGAATGGACGAACAGGTCAGAGAAAGAAAGGTGTAGGAAAGAGGTGAGCATTAAGAAGGAAGAAGGGAGAAGGTGAAGAGGGGGCAAAGTAAGATCTAAAATCTATACACGAGTCTATGCACTTATACTGTACAACTCTAAAGTATGTACTGACATCCATTTGAAAAACAGACGAAACAAAAATGGCCAAAAACTGCTGCAAAGTATCCTCAAAGGTTCTAAACTTCTAGCATTCCTTTCCCTCACAAGCACCACATAATACAGCTATACAAAGAGGAAAAGGGTCAAAACATCTTTTTCCTAAACTATCAAAAGAAAACAGTACCAGAAATATTTCACTCTCAAATTATCAAAATAAAATGACCATCTTAATAAAGCTACATGAGAGTTCATTCAAAATGATCATATTGTCTCCAAACAAGTCCATCCTAACCTTTTTCTGTTTTGACACAAACAAATATTCCAACTTAAATTGAAAATGTGCAAATCAGAGGACACGATATCCACCATACAAATAACCTGTATTTTAATTATCCTAGCATAAAATTGTATAAAATAGAATTTTTCTGTCAAGTAAGAGGAGTACTCTGATCTACAATAACAGTATAAACAGGTGTTCCTCGAAATTCTGAAGAAACCAAAGGTCCAATCCCCCATAATATCCCAGTAGAGAACTTTATGTCACAAAATCTCCACCCCCTCTCCCCTAAATTTGTCAAAGGTCCTCCAGTTTCTTCCGAACCCAACCACCCAAAACACAGCCGTCACTCTACTTCTCCCAAAACTTCTCTCATATGTCCTCAGCCAAAAAACTCACGCCCTTGACAAAATAAACTAGGACAAGATGTTGGAATTGCCCAACTCAATATTTTCCTTAAACAAACTTAACCATAATATAAAGCAATTGGGAAACAAAGAATCATGTCATGCACTTTCAGCTTCTACTCTACACATGATACGATGACAGGAAGAAAGACAAACAGAATCAAAGAGTCATTCCCATTAAGCACTTGAAGCTATTACTAGTACCTTAAGTGGTACCATAGCCTTCAAAACCATAGAAGATGGGTTGAAAGAAGAAATGAGTTGTCAATCAAATTTCCGTGCATACAATTGTTACAAGAAAATCCCCAAAACACATGGCTCTCCTTCAAGAGTGCCATCAACCAGAAATCACAAATCCACCACTATTCAAAGGCCATTGAATGTTAACATTACAAGATAATTCTCTCCAGGTCTTAATTATTTTGTAACCACTGCTTGTCCAAGAATAAATGGTTTGCCCTATTGCTACTTGTGGACCAACAACAGCCACCCCTTTATTAAAAATATACTAATTTTTTTCTATCTGACAAGAAACACGCAAAACCACACACAAAACATTCCACCTAGACCACACCAACTATAAATGCAACCAATCCAGATGCTGGATTACGTTAAATCCAGCATCCATAAAATGCAACAAAGAGGAAGCAAGAAATTTAATTTGTCCAGCATTAAAGTCAACTCCTCTCTATCTTAAATAATTCTTCTCTTCCTTTACAACCATGTAGATAGGCCCTCCTATTAGCCAGGGTTTAAAAGCTCTCTTAGTGGGCAGAGTTTAAAGGCTCTCCTATTGGCCAGAGTTTAAAGGCTCTCTTATTGGCTCAGAAAGACCTCTGTCAACAGGGCATAGCTATTTCTTAGAAAAATCAAGCAACAAGTTACACCAGATTTGTGAACTGCAGGAACAATGTAAAAAGATGTGCTCAGTTGATTCACCAGCTAATATAAACCGGAGACAGCAATGAGATAATCAGACACAGGATCTTTTTAAAGCATAGCACAAGTCCCCAGACACATAAATAGAACAATGCCTTCTATCAGACTAAGCTTGACTCAAAGAGATATTACTGGTATGAGACAACAAATTTGAGACATCCACAAACACCGTGTCATTTGGGATTCTTGGAATGATTTAAGTTCCAAGACAAGGCTACAGAGGATAATATGGATCTAAGGAGGATACAACCGGATTATGATCAAACAATATCTATAAACATCAAGGAATGAAAATTGAAGGGATGAATCACCTACCCTAGTATCTTCCAGAATTGGATTCTAGTTCCATTACAAACAAGAAGTTTTGAACTAGGAGAATAGAAATAGCCCTGAGAGACATATTTCCTAGGGCATTGAAGATAACTTCCACTCCCCACCATTCAAATGCAATAAATATGTTTTTGGTAATCAATTGATTTGTAGAATTAGCATTATAAACATACAACAATTAAAGTCAGAATTAACAGGACCTAGTTTTCACCCCATAAAAGTTATGTTTTGTCATCTAGTTCTATGACTATCATCGAACAAAGTAACATATAATCAACATTTATGAACTTAACCACATGTCCTAACTCTTACCATGAATCAAGGTGTTTTCAACATCTTCATCAATTTTACCCACATAAAGTACAGCAGCATTACACTTGTCTAAAGCAGCTTCTTCCGTCAGATGTTCATCAAGAACAGGTTGAAATGCAGTAAGTATTTTTTCTGGCAGACCTCCAACGGCCAATTTCTGAGGTTTAGAAGAATAATAAGGCATGTACAAGCTCACAATAAATAAGAGTACAATTATAGGCATTGAATATAAACCAACATTAAAGACTGCCCAAAGTGCTTACAAGTCTAACTGAGTGTGCATCCCTCTTCACTATCTTGATAGGATTTGAACTTTTTCCATTGCTTGCAGGTGGAGCAGGAGGATTCCTTCCCATCATATCATCTTTAAGACTATGCCCTCGAGACCCAAAAACTTTTCTTTCTTCCCAAATGTCAACCTGGACAAATGACGTAGCTTACTTACAGAGGAAGTAATGAGACTAGATTGCTAGGCACAAATGATCAAAAGGAAACGTAAATAAGAGTGGACACTAAACTGGTTCACTCTAGTCCATTACATGCTTGTCTTCCGGAGAGTGGGAGCAATCTACCAATTTTTTTGGGTTAATATCTGCAAACTCAGTTGGCTAGGTAGTGAAATCCTCTGGAGTATCTAAAAAGGACTTAGGTTCTGTTTCCACTTTGACGAAAATACAAACACTACAGAATCGTCAAAGTTTCTCCAGCCCATTACTATAGATTTAAGTCACTTAACATTGTAGTCTCAGGTCAAGTAAATGCATGCATGCATGCACACATCCAAATATCTATTGATGGTAGCATAATCATACAGCTATTCAATACTGTTATTTGTAAAACAAAAGAGAACATTCATAAATGCTCACCAGTCTTGTGGCAGCTTTCTTTCCCTGTTGATCACCATTTTCATAAACATGCTTAAGAGCTGCAGGAAGGAACTTCCAGAATTCATTCACAAATTCACTGCCCTTTCGCCTACTGTTTTGCAATATGTCATTAGCCAAATATAGACAAGCCACGCGCTGATCTTTCTGGGCAGAATTAAAACATTTATCCCACATTTCAACAATCTGCCTTGCTTTCTTTCGGTGAGGAATACACCAACGAGATAAAGCTATTTAAATGATTAAGGAAGCACATAATATAAACATCAAAGTTGGAGCTAAGTGATCAGGTAGTACATTACATCTATGTACAAATCTCATAAAATAAGAACTAAGGTATTATCAATACATCCAGAAATCAATATATGTGCCTACATTATCAAATATGTTTACCAGAAAATTTACCGAAGAAATATCATTTCTAAAGGATACAGTATAAAAGACCATATAGGGTTGCAGCTCTGGACGAAATTGTTGTACAGTTGCAAATTATAGGGCCCCGTTTATTTCACCTTCTTAGGTGGGAGCGGACTAGCTAGGGTAACTAATCCCATGCTTGGTATGACCAAGGACTAACTTACATGAGACTAAACCGGACTCGCCTAGACTCCACGCCTCACTAAATCACGCTAACCAATCCTGAGTAATAGCTAGGTATTAAGCCGGACTAGAAAGAAAAGGGCATGCAAGCCCAAATCAAACCCAGAAAACATAAAACCCAGTCCAGACTCCCTGATCGCAGACCCTTCCCCATCTCCCAGCTTCGAGCCAATCACATGCACCCTTCGCCCAACCATCCTGCACTGTTAACCCAACCCCACCCCGCGCCCCCCCCCCCCCCCCGCGGGGCCCCCTTTTTGCTTCAATTTAATCTCTCTCTCCATCTTATATACCTGCTGTACCGTAACTTCTGCACTAAGCCCAATTCCTAAATTTTCAATCTCTTTCTTGCTTTGTGGTTTGATTTTGAAGATTTGCAGTCGATTATGAAGTTCTGAGAGGAAGTGAAGAGGGAGAGAGACATTGACACATAAAAAAAAAAACGGTTCTCTTATAAATAGTAAGGGCAGAAAAATAGTTGGGTGAAAAAGTAATAAAATAATAGCTTTTTTGTTTTTATAAGTATAAAAGAGAATTAGAATATGGCAAAATAAAACTTTGGGTCTAATATTTTAGTATGTAGCTTAGTTCGGCACTGCACCAAACTTTGCTATTCTTATACTGCTTAGTCCAAGCCAAGCCAATCCAACTTAGTCCTTGACGCTAATCTAGTCCAAGTTAGTCAAGCATAACAACTGGGGCCTAGAACTCTTAATATTGATGTCATCTAAAATAAAGTAACATGATGTACAAGATGCAAGAGATAAGTTCCCATGACAAATTTAAATCACTGTTCACTATTTATCTAATAAAGCAGCACAGCTGCTAAGGCATTTAGCAGCAATCTCTACAGAGAACTTAAGTGGTACAGCCACTTGCCTCCAAGAGCTCATGTTAAGTTTATGCCCCAGGTCTGTGAGCCTTAATTACCAGTAGGCGGGAAAAGGTAAAGAAAGAAGGAAGTCATTTAGGAGCGTTCAGTTTTTTGGCTCAAAGAAGTCATGATGGGAAAAAAAAATTTAAAACATAACTTCACAATGGATATAACTTCAAGATAGCAGATATTGCCATCATCAATGCATCACTTAAGTTTTATAAACAAAATATTACAGAATTAGAACGAGAAACAATATATCGTTAAGGGGAGGAAAGAGTGGGAGGCATATAAATGCACAAGAATGATCCTCCCTATAATTTGAATAGTTACATTTTCTTTTATAAGAAAGAAATGTTACTGCTACTCAACAAAATGCAAACAAAGTGGACAAGATATCCACCCTAGAACATACATCGTAGTACAGTCAATAAACTTAATAAAAATCACATTCTATGACATCAAAATAGTATCTATCGAGAAGTGAATGGCAAAAGTTATTTACATAATCTATGCTATTATTAAGGGAAGTATAGATATAAAAAGGACCAACATTTGCAAAAAAAAAAAAAAAAATATATATATATATATAGGCACTTACAATATAAAAAGAACCTCCAACGTGCATTCTATCCTCAATAAAAGAAAATAAAATATATAATTTGGATAACTAGTAACTAAAATTCATTTCAATAAAATAAAATACACAAATCTCTACACAATCTTTTTAGCACTCTCTCTTCCTCTACAATAACTATCATCACTCTCTCTTTCTCCTCCTACAGTAACAGTCATTCTAACATGCAATATATGTGTGATAGTTGCTTGTAAACTATAGCACAAAGAGAAAACATAGATACAGTTGAAACTTCACCAACTAATGCAATTTTAACGCTGCCAAAAACAAGAGCATACAGAAAAGATACAAACTTTAACATTACAAGTTTCTTCACAAATCTAAAATTAGGGAAAAGTATAAATTTGTATTGAATTAGATTCAGCAAGATCCTAGTAATATAAAACATATATTAGTGTTTTATTCTTACCAAAAATTCTTATAAAAGAGTATGTTAATGAGTAGATGCGTAATACAGCTACACAGAAACAAATGTGATTCCCTCCTTGTAAACATCATTACCAAAACATAAATTAGCTAACCATGAAGTACTGTACACAGGGGATTTCTTAAGAGGATACATTCAATGCATTGTTGTGAACTGTTGAGTTTTGAAAGCTTGTCAGCCAATATCTGTCCATCAAAAGCTTCAACGTTACTCATTATGCTGTTGCTCAGTTTTTTACATCCCCTGCTGCCATAAAAACTGTATTGTTATGCCAAAAAAAATTAAAAAATAATGCGAAAAATATATTTAGAACTTGTAAAGTTTTTAACTTTTGTTTCACCCATTCAAGTACAAGATTGCATCAACAGAATAAACAATTCTTTACACTAATCCTGGTACTCAATACCGTTCCGTCTTGCTACATATTTACATGCAAGCAAAGTGAAATAAACACGTAAATTATAAAAATGCCCCCAGTTCCTGAACTAAAATTTGAAATTAACTAAATAAAGTGAAAAATGTAAGTACAATTTGTAAAGTTTATAACTTTCTTCGACCCATTCAAGTGCGGGATTCAATCAACAGAATAAACAATTCTTTACACTAATCCTGCTACATATTTCAGTGCAATCACAGCTAAAAAAATTAAACCGTTTCCTAATTTAAAATTTGAAATTAGCTAAATAGGCACTTCATGGCCTTCATTACTCTCAAAACCCACCAACCTCATACGACTGTACTTCCATTTCATCAATCAATTCGACTCTTATTCTTTATCTATAATTGTATTGGAACACATACTTCTCCACTACTCATTAATTCCCGATGAAAAAAGAAGCTTTAATTTTCCACACAAAAACGAAAATTGACAAAACCAAATTCTAGGGTTTACACAGACATGCGTCGTCACGCACAGTTTTCGAACGGAAACGCCGTTGAGGAATCGAACCAGGGAGAAGGACGGAAATGAAGAAGAAGGAGGAACGACATGGTTCGGAGACTTACCGGAGCAGCAGCGGGTGGACGTCGCTCTCTTTCTCTCTCTTCTTCCGGCAACTGAGGCCCAAGTGCGCTCGGTCCCTCTCCTTCCTCCTTCCTCTGCGGTCTGAAACGACGCCGGGCTGTAGATATTTGCTGTACTCTTTTTTGTTTTGCAAATTTTATTTTCTGCTTTAACTTTGTTTTGTTCTCTTTTAGATTTTTTTTTTTTAACAAACGATATTATTTACAGAGATGAAGTGGACTTAATCTCACACAGGATAGTAATAATATAATTCAAATTCGCATTTGACGATAATTGAACATAAGATCTCTTATTTACAACTGAAGAGGAATATCAATATATCATAATACTAAGTGACTTAATTTTGTTTTCTTAGTTTATAATTGTTTTGTTCTCGTACTTTTACAACATTTTGTTTTAAGTCCCGTGAAGTTATTAATCACAGGTCATCCCCGGATCTAAAAATCCTGAGCTTAAAGATCAAATGATTCGGATCGTTGAAATATGATTCAACAGCTACAAACAGGAATCTCTCTAAAGTTATAATAATTGGATCAAACTTCAACAGCTCGGATCATTTGATCCTTAGACTCAGAATTATTAAATCCGAAGAGGAACTGGGTTTATTAATCAGGCATCATGTCTTTTAGTTGAGACACAAATTTAATTTTTGACATTCACGTTTAAGTTTTGAATAAATTTTCTATCATTATGTATTATTTAGTGATATTTAATAAAGCATCTCATTCAATTAAACAAAAAAACTATTGTCCTCAAAACACGCGAGGGCAAAAATATGGATTTGCGTAAGAAGTAGATTTTTGTAATACATATTAAAGCATCCCCGCATGTTTGGGATATCGAAAGAAGTAGATTTTTTTGGCTAGGAATTGCAGTACATTTACTAGATATTTTGTAATACGGATTTATAGATAGATATATATATATATATGTATGTATGTATGTATGTATGTATGTATATATGAACTGTTATTAACACTTCAAAAATCTCATTTTACTTCACAAGCGTATTTTTTTTCTGATTATAGAAAGTTTGGAGTGTCAAATGAGATTTTTGAAGTGCTAATAATAATTCACACACACACAATGTTAAGTGAGAGTCATGGATTTGCGTAAAAGATTTTATTTTATTTTCAGATTCATTTGTAAACCATTAAATGGATTGTGTTGATGCGTGTAATTCTCACATACATCTACAATTGATAATCGTTCGTGCACAAGAATACCAACCATTAAAACTGTTGATGTGTGTGAGTCCCGCACACACATTTACAATTGACAATTGTTCATGTGTTACAAATAGTCTTCACACTTCTAACCTCTTGTTTTCTTTCGCCGGAAAGAAGTACATGATGATTTTTTGGAGTATCAAATGTCAAAACGGCTCCCTTTTAGATACTTGCAGAATGCTTGAGGCAGCCAACTAAGTTGAAAATTAAAGAATCAACGGCGGGATCTGATAAGAAATATAAAGAAAAGGAGAAAGAAGAAACTACTCGGATTCATAGCTACAATATAACGACCTCAAAACTTTTACATCCAAAACATAGTACAATACTGATGATCAAAGACAATCTTTCACCCGATTCTTACAAAATTTAGGATACTACAACAACGACATCAAAGCTTTTTCTCACGAAATGAGGTCGGCTACTTACAAAATGTAGGATAAAACACGAAAATTTCACACAGTCAAGAAATCAAACCAAAACCTCTTTCTTGAATTAACCAATCAACCAAAAGATCAGCGAACGAAACTACCACTTACCAAAATATGATTATAACCACACCACACCGGAGAAAACAAAGAGCTTGAAGTTGCAAACCACCAAATATGTTCTTCAGTTTTCGTGTTTTATATTCTCAACTGGAAGATCCGTTGCATGAGGTACTACCTCTGCCAATATGTTCTGTGTAGATGGTTTTGGCGGCTCACCATCAACATTACTTCCCGAGACTTGCTCGAAAGCAATAGGACTAGTTATAGTTTCTTGAACACCATGTTCTGTGGTGCTTGATGCAATCTCCTCAGTCGACGCCATTGCATTAACTCCTAGTCCTGACAATCGCTCCTTCAAATGTGATGTTGGTTTTAAAAGCTCATCGACATGACTTTCCGAGACCTGCTCCAGAGTACTATTCTCTTGAATACTTGGTAGCATATCACTTGATGCAATCTCCTCCGTAGAACCCATTGAATTAGTTCCTGTTTCTTCTGCTCCATCATTAACATGACTTTCTGAGATGTGCTTCGGAGTAGTGATATCTTCATGAACACTCGATAGCATATTGCTTGATACAATCTCCTCCGCAGGATCCGCTGCACCAGTTCCTCCTTCAAACCCATCATTTGAAATTGATATCACTTTTGGCAACTCAGTAACATGACTTTCTGAGACTTTCTCTAAAGCAGTATCTGCATTGATATCTTCTTGAACACTATTGCTTGATGCAACCTCCTCCATAGAACTTATTGCACCAATTCCTACTTCTTCCGATGCATCATCTGAAATTGAGGTTGCTTCTGCCAACTCATGCTCCAAAGCAGTATCTGCATTGGTATCTACTTGAACACTTGATACTGTATTGCTTGAAGCAATATCTTCCGTAGAAACTATTGCACCAGTTCCTACTTCCGATCCATCATTAACATGACTGTCTGAGACTTGCTTCGGAATAGTGATATTTTCTTGTTGACAGCCCGATATTATGTTGCTTGATGCCATCTCATCCAAAGAACCCATGGCATTACATCGTACTTCTTCAGACCCATCATTCGAAATTGACGTCGCCTTTGGCAACTCATCAACATGACTTTCTAAGACTTGCTCCAAAGCAGTATCTGCATTGATATCTTCTTGAACACTTGATGCTGTATTGCTTGATGCAACCACCTCCGTAGAATCCACACCGGTGGTTCCTACTTCTTCCGACCCATTTGAAAGCTCACCAACATTAACTTGCGTCAGCTTATTAACATTACCTTCTGAATCTTGCTTTAAATCGGTGACATTATCTTCCAAGTAGCTTGCTTCAACAATTGGCAACTCTGAACTGGTTTGGACAGTATTTTCAGATGCTTCCAAGTACCTCTCTTCAACAGTAGGCAATTCTGAATCTTCCAAGTATCTTGCTTCAACAATTGGCAACTCTGAACTGGTCTGGACAGTATTTTTGGATGCTTCCACCACTAGCTGATCGTCAACCACACTGGGAAGAATGACTTCCTCAACAGCTAGTCCCTTATGCATTTGCTTAAAATCTGTGTCAATATTTTCAATTGATCTTGCTTCAACAACTGGTAGCTCCTGGTTCAATTCTGACAGGTTTAAATCACCAAATTCAGTGCTTAAAACATTTGCTTCCTCTGGAATCAGCTCCTCTGTATGGAGTGCCTCACCAACTTCATTCGTACTGAAGTCCCCAACTGCATCCAATTCCGACAGTAACCCTGCATCAATCTCCTTTATGTCATCTACTTCTTCTTTAATAATAAGTGCTTCCACATGATCATCAAGATATGGTTCAACCATGGATTTATCTGACCAGGAAAGGACTTTATCCAGCTCTGATGACGGCTGTTCTTCAGAGAGAACAGATTGATAACTACAATCAGCTGTCTTCATGTCAAAAATCTTAGGGAGAGAGATATCGTCCTCTGAATGTGAAACCACTAAGCCGACTTGGTTGCCTGTCCCCAAGCTTCTTTCAATTTCATCTGATGCATGTACTTTTGAGGTGGCACCGCTTGTCTCTACAAAACCTGAAGTATCTTTGTCTGTGCTCTGACCATACACTTCACAACGCCAGTCTACAAACGGAACTTGCACTTCAGCTAATGCTGGAGGTGTAACCATTTCGGATACATCTGCTTGTATATCAGAAGAAATAGAGTTAAAGGAAAGGATCTTTTCAGTTGGTAGGGGGGTTGAGTCATAGACTGGCTCATCGTGTTCATCTTCATTCAGTGTCCTGCTCATAAACTGGACTTCTGACTCCTTCAGTGAAGGTTGTGGCGAAATTACAAACTCCTTGGTGATATCACCGCTTGCCTCCAAACTGGTTGATCCACCTTCCACTACATCTGCAATCTTTTCATCCACTTCTGTCAATGATGACAAGCTTGACGTACTGCTGTTGTCCTCTTCAATCGGTTCTGGTTTGAAATGATCTTCGTGAACATGTTCCACATGAGTAGCCAAACCAGTTGCACCAGCCAAGCTCGGTTCCAGGTCTTGCGATTCAACCAATTTTATTTCAAGCTCATTATGTTGAACATCTCTTTTTCCGGCCTGTTCCATTTCCAGAGAATCTACGTCTTCAGAGGATTGACTTCCGTGCTCAACAAGATCATCAGTAGCATGGTAAATGTTGGATATCACTTCTGCTTCTTTAGTAAAGTCTTGCTCACTGAAATTCCTTTCATCCAGATCTGCAGCAGAACTCACTGATTCGGTATCGGGAACAGAACTCAACTTTGATTCGCTAACTATGCTTAATTGTCTTTGAAATAAGGAACTGCTTGTTCCTTCTGAAGCCAACCTTTCTGGTACAAAAACAGGTCTCCACTTAAAATCTTGCCTCTCTTGCCTTGGCTGCCCTAAGGTTGATGGTCCAAAACTGAAGCTTTCATGCCTTCGGAAGATTGCATCCTTGGCGTGATTCGGCATAAACTCTTGCTCAAAAGGGTCTCCCTTTAGATCAGGTTTTTCTTCATTTGATTCGTAAGGAAGATCAAAGGGGTTTCGCCTTGGCAACATTACAGACGGAGCAGACCCAGGAATGGGTGGTAACCCCAAGTTGTCAAAGGAATCATATGACAGATCAAATGGGTTGTGTCTTGCTGTTGAAATTGGTGCAACATTAAACGGAAGATCAACACTATCAAAATCAATTAGATTCTTCTCTGCCGTTATTTTGAAGCTTTTCCTTGCTCTTCTCCTTGCAATAAGGTTCTCCAACCGTCGGTTCCTTTCGAGCTCCAGATTCCCCAAATCCATGAGATTCTTTTGGTCATCCTCGGTCCACTTGATCGCAGATTTGCTTTCATCATCCTTCCCATCTGGTGCTTCTTCCTTGTCACCGTCATTATAATCATTCCCATCCTCTCCTACTTCTTCACTGTGGTTTTCAGTTTCCACATCAGACTCAACACTGCCAGCATTGCTCCTGTTAGACTGGTCTGAAGCAGCATCGGACTCATGACCATGGGACACATGAGCTGGCTGTGGAGCTTCTGAGTCTAAAAGAGGGTACAGCTCATCAAGCATCGGAAGAATGTCAGCCATTGAAGCATCTGGCGAGGAACTCTCCGCTCGATCTGACTCAGAATCTGAAGCCTCATCATCCACATCTTCACCAGCCTTGTCATCACCCCCACTGCGAAGCAGTGAAGAATACAAGTGATCATCGTGAGCATAGCCTGACCCTCGAGGAGATATATCATCGTCTTCCACTCGACAAATCTCATTTCGCACCTTTTGAAAAGAAGTATACTGCTGCTCAACAGCCTCATCATCACCACCACCATTCCCAAGCAGTGCAGAATACAAGTGATCACCCTCATGAGCATAACCTGACCCACGAGGAGATGTATCATCGTTTTCCACTCGACGAATCTCATCTTGAACCTTTTGAAAAAAAGTGTACTGCTGATCAACAGCTGCCACATCCCAGTCAATGCCTTCAATCCCCAAGTGATCATTATCAATCTTTCTCCGCTCTCCCAACTCCGAACTGTCTAATTCTCTCTCCGCATCCTCAATCTCTCTCTTCTCACCACCAATGTTTTGCAAACCCTGATCAATAAGTGGCACATAAATAACCGAACCATCGCAATCCTCATTCACTCTCTTCTCACTATCAGTGTTTTGCAAATCCTCACTAATAAGTGGCACATAAACACCCAAACCATCACGATCCACAACCTCACTACTCGCTTTCTCTATGGATGCATCAACCAAATCCCTAGTCTCTCCCACAAACCTCTCCGCGGAAAAGCTCCCACCTCTCTCAAGCACAACAGTGTCATCCCCTAAACCCCTAGTTCTAAGAGAAGCAACGTCATCACAGGTAACCTTCTCTTCCCTTTCGATTTCGGGTATGTTGGTTTGGCCAAAACTCAGAAGGGTTCCTAGAAGAACAGCAGTGCAGACTAAAACCGGGGACGTCGAAACCAAAAGGGTAAACAAAAAAGGAAACGATCTGTACAGAAATAGCAGAAAAAGCAGCATCCCAGCAAGAAATGGATGATTGCAAACTGATCTGTATGAAATCAACACAATTTTCCGGAGTTTAACTCCAACTTCTAACACCAACCCCATTTTTTCAACTTCTCAGTGGATTATGGATATAAATACTAATTGCAGTTCCAATCTGTATGAACAGAAAATTAACCAATCAATCAACATGCTAAAAGCAGAAGCTAAAAGCATGAAAAACAAGTAGGAAACAATCAGAGAAAAGAAAAACCCACCTTAGTGAAAACCAGATGGGAGTCCAAAGCGATCAGATGAAGATCAATCAAAAACCTGAAAGCAGAAATTGATGAGAAAAAATGGAAAAAGTTGAGATTTTTTGGAAGGAAAAGAAAAATGGAGACTGAGAGGACAGATGAAAAACCATGGAAAGTAAAGGGCAGTGGGAATCCCTCAGCTTTTTCTTTTTAGGGAAAAACAGCGAAGGAAAGCTGTATGTATGTATCTATCTATAATTCTATATCTCCATGAATGTATGTCAGTGTTTTTTGGTATATATTTGATTTGATTTGACAGACAGGAAAATGGGGCGGCACAGAAAGAAGAGAAAAAAAAGAAGCTACTCAGTCAAAAAGTCACGACACCCACTTCTTTGTTCAAGAAATCGTTACTGTGTCGGTATATTCGTGTCATTAAATAAATTTTTCTTAGTTATTAAGAAAAATTTTGTATTGAATTTTGACTAGTTACATAGCCAGGCATGCCCCGCAGTCCCACAAATGAATATATCCCGTTTTTGTTGTTGTACCATTCGTCCCTCCCACAAAGAAATGGATCTCACTTTAGGTAAAGTAACATTTAACCTCACGTAGGTATAACTCCCAATGCACATATCTAATTTATTGTGAGGGTGGATCTAACTAGTTCGTTAGTTAGGCTAACATTCTTAAATTTTTCCCAGTCTATCTAGATTGTAAATTATGATTCCTAAACAATCACCTGATGAAGGAAAGAATGAATCAAGCGATTCCTTCTCAAAACCCTTTCTTTGAAGCTGATCAAACTACTATACACAAATTTTCTTCTATGCACTAATTTTTTTTCATCTATAGTTTAGATTATAGAATAATGATTGGCTACTCAATGATGAATAGGAACTCGTATTCAAAACTCTTTGTAGTCGAATTACAGGGTCTCGTCCTTATAATCAGAACTGTTCATATTATGAATCACTTTGTGAAGATCATTTTTGCGAAAATGGATTAAAACTAAGATCGTTTAGTCAATCTATTGTACCACATCCATAAACTGTTCGTAATTCTTTTATTAATTATGTGATCTGTTTTTAAACAATTAAATGATTAAACGACCTTAGTTTTAATTGAGCTATTTTGCAGAGACGATCTTTAAATAGTAATTTATAATATGACATGTTCTGATCATGAACATGAAGTTTTATAAATCAATAACGAACAATTTTGAATAAGAACTTTTGTCCATTATTTAAAGGGACATGCTATCCACACACCTCATTATACTTCTCACATATCCCTTGATAATTTTTGTCATTTGATCTTCTTCTATACATCCGATTAGACGGTCAAAAATTAAAAAAGTATGAGAAGTAAAATAAGATGTGTGGATATCACATCTCCTATTTAAATAGTCATGTACTATTCTAAATTAAATTAGAACATTCCTCCAATAACAAGAAATAATTCTCCCATTATTATATTCTCATACGTGGTGCTTCAGTTTTATAAGTTATGTTTATATACCCACAGTCCCACTGTAGCTACATAGGCATACATCTTGACCGTTCATCTCTTTATGATATTCGCGTCGCGTCCGGTGGGTGGAGCTCATAATCTCTACCAATTATTAAAAGTAAGAATGATCGATGGTAATGCGTGTGTGTGGATGATCATTACAACCTCGTGCAGAGGACTTTAATATCCACTTTCCTTTTCTTGCAAGCTTACATAAAATAATTACATGTTCTCGAATTTTCCAACATGACAACTTGCTATTACAATGATATTCTTTCGGTTTATTGATTTATAACATGAGAGTAGCGAGCAAAAATACACTTCTGACTAATAATTTATGCTAAAATAAAAGTGTAAAATCACACGATATTAGATCTGTAATTGTAAATTTGCTTAAAACATAATAAGCATTAAGTTTAGGGCTTACAATTCAGGTTTATTGGTGATTGTATAAAAGAATTCTTCTTTTTTTTTAGCATAAAAAATGTTTTCTAAGTCATCAAGTCATCAAACAATGCGTGATTGACCATTCACATAAATAAATGTGTTTTTATTATTTTAACCTCAACTGCTCACTTCTACATTTTTTGTTTCGATTATCGAGATTATCAATTCTCTTTTTAGTAGGAAGAATAGTGCAGGAATGGCCGTTCTCAAACGAGGGAAATGCTCCTCTGTAACTAAATATAAATATATTAGAATGCCTTATCAAATACAAGGATGGGAGACCATGTCACTAGTGGTGACCAATGGCATGGGACTCTTCCCAGCATAATCTTTTTCATGGACTTTGTACACAGAGGTGGGGGATGATTTTACTGGGACAATTCGTGGTAGTTTTGTTAATCAATATCGCTAACAAGCACAATCCGGAATCTAATTGACAAAGGGTGCCTGCATCCCTCGTATGTCACAGCAAAACGATGAGTTTGAACTGTAACGTCGTTCGCTTTTCAAAAAGGTATTATGGGCCAAAATCAAATCTACAAATTCAAACTGCGTTCCTTTATCTTCCATTGGTCCATTTTCTTTTCAATCCACTCGACCACTTGATCTACGTCTAAAAAAGACTGAGCCTAAAATAGGAAATACAATTACTCAGAAAATGAAAAGCAAAAAATATTAACGCTGAAACAAACATTAAATTGGTGCTGGGAAATCTTAGACCGGCAAATGGATTTGACTTGCCATTCAAACAACTCATCTGATTCTATGCTCTTTCTGTCTCCTCTTATGACCTGGTCCTCTCTCCTCTCCTCCGATTCTCTGTCCTCTCACTTCTCGAGAAGTTCTACATACAACCCGGGTGGCTAGTGGCACTCGCTTCTCAACTGCCGATGTGATATTTATCTTTATGCGTCAATGAGAGGATGCGAATTCAATTTTTGATGAATTTGATTCTAAATTATTCTGATTGATTATTGTACTTAATTCAAATTCTCTCCTTCGTAATTTAAATATTGACTTATAGTGGAACTGAACACAAATTCCCTAATAAGGTGATGCACTCAGTCCACATTTGATTCGATTTTCCATGTCGATAAGGACTTGCATGGAATCAATTCCTTCATGACGTCCTAGTCTAATAATGCATTGTCATGTGAACCAAAAATTACAAAAAATAAGTGGTGCAAATCTCATGACATTGTTTGATAACAAAACATAGGTTGTTGCAAAGCTCCAAACATCACTTCCCCAAAGATTAGTAAAATGAGAGAACTCATGAAAGGTACTCTGACGCTCAAGTCAGTACTTGTATAAATATCTTATCAAGATCTTCTAGTACATTGCTGATGTGGGTTTCAAGGCATCACATTCCCCAAATTCCAATCTCAGTGCAAGTATTGATCTTTAAATGGTGCTTCGTTGAAGGCTATATTCACTTTTTAACCAAGAGGGTAGAAGAGGAGCTGTAAAACTGTTAAATATTTCATTACATAAGGTAAAATATCATAAAACCAAATCCTAAAATCTACTGCTCATCATAAAGCTACTTTTGTGTTGCCATTTGCGACATCTTTGCTGTCGTGCAGTTGTCCTTGTACCTTCTCATCGGCAACCTCCATGTTCGACGAAGCTGCTTTGTCGCACGACGAGCAACCGCCTTCATCAGAGACCTCGGAACATTGGTCAGAAGACAACTCCGACCGCTGCAACTCAGACATGATTGATGGCGAGTAAGCTGAAGAACAGCCAGAGTCAACGAAACTAGACATTTTCTTGTCATCTTCTCGCATTCTTTGTCCGTAAGCTTCACAGTCAAAACCACCTGAACTTCTTCCACCAAATGCAGATTCCAACTTGTCCATGTTGAAAAGATCTTCCATTACCTTCTTGCTCTGCGGGTTGTCCGAGTACACAAACTTCACCTTCTTGTGTGTTTTCGGCTCAAGAAATGGTTTTACCATCTGCAATTCAAAGAAAGTTTCACCAGATTTTTCAGACGAGCATTGAGGTCAGTTTTTACGCGAACAACACAAGGGGAAGTATACGAGTATTTAGAATCGACGTGAACTGCTTAAACCGCAAAACTGGTGACCAACGACAGATAATTCTAACAAATCAATGGTAGCTTCTGTGAAGCCAAGAGAAGCCTTACATGCCATAAAACAGTTAGCAAGATTTTCGTTTTTAAAAACCTTGTTTGAGTTGTTTATTTTTGTAGAAGATTTATACGTTTAATTTAGAGTTTTTCACATACAAAACCTTGAAAACTTTAGAGTCTGCCGGCAGGTAAATCTGGTTACAGAAACTAGTTCCGTGGCCAGATTATCATCGCCCTGGTTTTTCTACATTGTTTTCTATCTTTCCGTTCTTGTTCTTCGTCATCTTATGACCCCCGGTATCTACTCCCTAGTCCCAGAAAATCGATAACGAAACCCTGACCTATTATTGTCTTCATACCATATTTCTTTGCTTCATTGATTCACTTAATCACTACATTCTGGTTTCGACCATTCCCACATTGAGATCAACAAAACGTTAATCGTGAAGCTCTTGCCTACATTCCAAGTTTCCAACATAGCTCAATACACTAACCCTAATATCAAATGCAAAGAGTAATAACATAAAAATTGAAGAATAATTAGGTTTAGACAAGAAAACAAGAACAAATGCAGATAGATGCGTAATAACATACCGTCCAAAAGGACTCAAATACTTTTGGTGGATTATAGAGGATGCCAATTCCCAATCTCTCAGGGTAATGATTTTGCAGGATCTTTGCTGTTTCCCTAGTTGCCTTCAACGATATACTCGATGTGTTCCACCGTTGAAAATCGATTAGCCACACCATCTGTTCCTGATCTGAACTCATATTCAGAATGGCATTCTCCATGCAGTATACCAAATACATGATCTGCTTGTTTACTGCATTCGTGTTCTGACACGATGAAAGAATTTCAGAATCAAGCAGAAAAATGGTAACAACTTCTAACATTAACGTTGACACTTTTCGTGCGATTTAACTACCTGAAAACCAGGCCTCAGGATAAGAACTGTCCTTCCAAACTTGTCATAGTAATTGGCTCTGTAAGTTTTTCCTGTCTCCGCTTCTTGAGCAATGTCTTCCTATATAAGATAAAAGAAACCACTTTCAAATGGGATTATTCCAGAAGCATAAACTACTTCATAACTCGATCGGATCATGAAGCTTTGAAAAGTAGACGGTTTAGCTCTTTGAACTACAAATAACATGCAGCTTAAGGAGAGGGGACCAGAATTTTTCTAAGATCCGAACGGTCTATTTTCTAAAGGAAACTACATTCGTCTATTAATTTGGATATTTTTTGTTGTTGGCAAGAATGGTTTATGCGTCAAAGCTTTAAAACATAGACGGTTTAGATCTTTGAAACATACAGGCGCATTTCTTACCCATTGGATCTTCTCGGGCTTGAACTCCGACCTCCATTTTATAGTTTCTTTCAGCATCTTGCCTGCCTTCTTCGTATTCCAGTTGCGCGCTCTTAGGTACCTTGATATTGAATCTTCTGAACAAATAGCTGGCAGCCTATCCGCAATAGGACCCATCATCTTCGTCACCTCATAAATCTGAAGAGCACAAGGGCCAAATTATTTCCTATGAAAAAAGATTCCAAAATAAACAAGAAAATATACAACGAAAGGACGACTCAAAGTCGGCTTATAATCTTTTCTTTGATGGAGAGGATTTGCCTGATTCTTGCTGGGATTTTATTAGGAAAATTAATGTTCCATCTAAGTTAAAAGTTTTTCTTTGGTTGATGAGGAAGGGAGATTGCTTTCTAATAAGCAGCGAGTTAGATGACAAATAACTTCTGACTCTTCTTGTATGACTTGTTGTGCACCAATGGAATCCATTGCTCATATTTTTAAAGATTGTTCCAGGGCTGTGTGTATTTGGGAAAGTATGGGAGTTCCAAGGCAACTGAGGAACGCCCAGAATCTTGAGTTTAAGGCTTGGTTGCTGGCAAATCTGAAAGTAAGTTCAAAGGGGACCAATGAGGGTGCTTGGTGTACTCTTTTCCTTTTTATTTGCTGGTATATGTGGAAATGGAGAAACAAGCAGCCTTTTTATGTCAATTTGTCATGCCTATGGATCCAAAAGCCATCATTGTGAGAGATGTGGCTGAATGGTTGAAGGCTTGTGTGAAGTCTTCCGTTAAACCTGTCAAGAGGCAAATTTCACTCTCTTGGGATCATCCTGATGTAGGTTGGTGTAAGTTAAACGTGGATGGATCTAGAAGGACAAATCCTAGTCGAATTGGGGCTGGTGGCGTACAAAGAGATCATACTTTGGTTTACAGCTTGCTATTGATAAGGGTGCTACTGATCTTCATATTGAGATGGATTCAAGGCTATTGTTATGTTGTTGAAGCAAACCCAAGTTGATAATTTCCATCATTTGGAGACAATTATGCATAGCTGCAGATTAATGATGAGACAATTGAGGTGGTGTGAATTGAATCGCATTTACAGATAGAAGAATATTGTGGCTGGTCAGTTAGCTAACTAGAGTTATAATATGGATATTGGTGTTCTTTTATTTGATGAGCCTCCCGTTTGGATTAGATCGGCTCTCATTGATGATGCTGCTAGAGTCCCTTGGACTCGTTTTGCTCTTGTTTTGTAGTTCTCGTTCGGTTGTAATCCCATTCCTCACCTAAAAAAAAAGGACGACTCAAACCAACATGACTCCTCGCTTGGTGAGGGTAAAAGGAATGTTTTTCGTATGCAGCTTTACCTTTACTTTGCAAAGATGTTTCCACGACTCAAATATGTGACCTTTGGGTCATAAATGAGCAACATTTTTGTTGTGCCAAGGCTCGTCCTAAACCCCACACCGATACAACTAAACAAAAAGAAAATGATTTCCGCACAATCTTTTTTTTTTGCACAGCCTTGTTTATTTCCACCCCTTGATATTCCTTTAATTCTCGTTTCAGTAAAAATATCATACATAAACATGACAGTACGAAAATCACTTCTTTCGAAACAAAATCTTTTAACTTCATCCATACCTTGGTCAACTGCTCTTCATGGGACAATGCTTTATCTGCTGTGCTTTCCCGCTTTTTGAATGACATCTTTTCAAAAATTTCAATGAAACTAATTTTTTTTTTTTAACACAATCGGTCACCAAAAATCAACTGCAAAATTCAAAAGAAAATAAGAAAAATTATATAAAATTTTAAGGAAAAGAAAAGCAATGAGGAGGATAAATCAATCTACAATATTGCAAGTAAATCTATATAAAAATTGAAACAGAAATAAAAAATTAATACCTGTTTTTCCATGCAAATGCAGAGCCAGAGCTTCGGAGCTCATTTCAAATATCGAAACCAATATCCATTCAAAATTTCCCCATCTGAAAATTCCTATCACCCTTTTTTTTTCTTGTTTAAAATAATAATAATAATATTTTTATTTATAGAATTATGGGAAAGTAACGGAGTTTGGATTCGATAAATAAGGAAAGAAAAACCAATAAAAAGGTAATAGCATTGGCAACGGTTGTGGAAGAAATTTATTAGTGTGTTGGAAACATGATTCTGTATTTTAAATTTCATAATACAATTAATTGTAAATATTTTTTTTTTCAAGTTTCAAACTAATTATATTGTAAAACTTATGTACCGAATTAAATCGTGTATCTGTCACATTAAAAAATCGTTTCGTGTTGTGGCTTTGAATTGGCATTCCTTACTTTCCTTTATTTTTTTTTTATCAATTTTTTTTTCTGTTTATATTTAAGGTCTTATTTTGGCCTGAATTATTATAAATTGACCGGCAGGTGAGAGAAGAGGCGAGTACGTGGACGAATTGGAGGCGACCGTTTGGGATTGATGGTGGTGAAAGGAGAGCAGGTTTAGAACCGTCAGGCCAAGCTTTGGAGCTTTTTACGGGAACAAGTGGCCACATTTTGATAACCCATGACTCTTTGAATGACCCCATAATTACGGAAATAACTTATATGCAACTAGAATGAAATTTCAAATTGAATGTCATTTTTGTAATGGTACATGGATAAGTTTAAACATGTGACGAGATACATTTGAAATACAGTCATATTCACCTAGGTTATCCATCGGCCAACTACTAGTTGGTCCAAACCCAATATTGTTTGTATAGCCAAGCTCGTCCTAAACCCTACACCGATACAACTAAACAAAAAGAAAATGATTTCCGCACAATCTTTTCTTTTTGCACACTCTTGTTTATTTCCACCTCTTGATATTCCTTTAATTCTCGTTTCAGTAAAAATATCATACATAAACATGACAGTACGAAAATCACTTCTTACGAAACAAAATCTTTTAACTTCATCCATACCTTGGTCAGCTGCTTTTCATGGGACAATGCTTTATCTGCTGTGCTTTCCCGCTTTTTGAATGACATCTTTTCAAAAATTTCAATGAAACTAATTTTTTTTAACACAATCGATCACCAAAAATCAACTGCAAAATTCAAAAGAAAATAAGAAAAATTATATAAAATTTTAAGGAAAAGAAAAGCAATGAGGAGGATAAATCAATCTACAATATTGCAAGTAAATCTATATAAAAATTGAAACAGAAATAAAAAATTAATACCTGTTTTTCCATGCAAATGCAGAGCCAGAGCTTCGGAGCTCATTACAAATATCGAAACCAATATCCATTCAAAATTTCCCCATCTGAAAATTCCTATCACCCTTTTTTTTTCTTGTTTAAAATAATAATAATAATATTTTTATTTATAGAATTATGGGAAAGTAACGGAGTTTGGATTCGATAAATAAGGAAAGAAAAACCAATAAAAAGGTAATAACATTGGCAACGGTTGTGCAAGAAATTTATTAGTATGCTGGAAATATGGTTCTGTATTTTAAATTTCATAATACAATTAATTGTAAATATTTTTTTTTCAAGTTTCCAACTAATTATATTGTAAAACTTCTGTACCGAATTGAATCGTGTATCTGTCACATTAAAAAAATCGTTTCGTGTTGTGGCGTTGAATTGGCATTCCTTACTTTCCTTTTTTTTTTTTTTTATCAAATTTTTTTTCTGTTTATATTTCTAAGGACTTATTTTGGCCTGAATTATAATAAATTGACCGGCAGGTGAGAGGAGAGGCGAGTACGTGGACGAATTGGAGGCGACCGTTTGGGATTGATGGTGGTGAAAGGAGAGCAGGTTTAGAACCGTCAAGCCAAGCTTTGGAGCTTTTTACGGGAACAAGTGGCCACATTTTGATAACCCAAGACTCTGTGAATGACCCCATAATTACGGAAATAACTTATATGCAACTGGAATGAAATTGCAAATTGAATGTCATTTTTGTAATGTTACGTGGATAAGTTTAACATGTGACGAGATACATTTGAAATACAGTCATATTCACCTAGGTTATTCATCGGCCAACAACTACTTGGTCCAAACCCAATATTGTTTGTATAGCCCGATAGGTGTGAATTTTACGCTAAAAGCCTTGGAGTTATTAGCAGTAGATCATTCATTTATATATTTATTTTGATCTATCAAGTTTCGCGGAAGGGGTTTAAAAATTCTCCGACAAAACTGAAAATGGTAAGTGAATTCACATAATAGGATGTGGGCTGGGCAAGAGAGCAACTTGTATGGCATGGATATACCAACACAATGACATCCTGTGTACAAGTCCTCTGATATGGCTGGCGAAAGGTGGGTCTCTGCCGTGAGCTAACGTTAGCATCGACCTCATATTTACATAAAGAACTTATATGCAACTGGAATGAAATGTCAAAATGAATGTCAAACTTGAAATACAGTCAATTCACGTAGACTATCCAGCAGCCAACTACTAATGGTCCAACAACGACATTGTTCCCAACTGAATTGCTTGTATGGCCCAATACATGTGAATTTTATGCTAAAAGTCTCGGTGTTATTAATACTGGATCATTCATTTATATATTTATTTTGATCTATCAAGTTTCCGATGTAGGGTTTAAAAATTATCCAACACAACTGAAAATGCCAAGTGAATTCACATAATAGGATGCGAGCTATGGCTAGAGAGCAACTTCTATGGCATGGATACACCAATACACTAACATCCCGTGCCATACAAGTACTCTCCTGTGGCTGGCGAAAGGTGGGTCTCCACCGTGAGCTGACCTCAGTCAGTGTTGATGGTGATGGTGTTGGACGGTTGTCTGGTGGGTGGGTAGAGGCAGTTTAGGGGTATTTTGCTACTACAACACATGAAGCCAGAATAAGCCAATTCTTGTTTTGTTGCAAGAGACGGATATGATCGATTAAATACTGATTACAAAGAAGTACGTCAATTAGTAGTGCTAAACCCTAAACCCTAAACCTGAAACCCTAAACCCTGCATCCAGGCTAGGTGCTAAACTCTAGTTGATCATGTTGCTTCTTATCAACCAAGCAAATAAATTACAAATTCTCATTACTTGTACAGATAGATACTAACCCGGAGCGAAATTAAACTATTTTGGAACGGGAGTCTGGGCTAACTGTTGAAGCTGATGAACAATGTGTGACATCCTCGGGCGCATTGATGGGACATGCTGTGTACAAGCATATACGAGGTCCACCACCTTTTGAATCACACCAGCCTCCGGAATCCCAGAAGAAGAAGCGGTTATATGAGGATCCAGGAGATCCGGGTAGCGATGAGCCTGAACCAGAGGTGTTGCCCACTCAAAAATGCTCTGCCAACCCACAGAATCAACGGCCTGTGCAGGTCTACGTCCACTCACAATTTCAAGTAGCAGCACACCAAAACTATAAACATCACTCTTTGTCGTAAGTTCATTTCTGTAGACAAATTCTGGAGCAAGGTATCCATATGTGCCACCAGCCATCACGGTCCTCTCATGGATCACTTCACATGGGACAAACTTTGACAGACCAACCCCCATTAGGTGTGCTCCGAAATCTTCATCAAGCAGTACATTACTGGCACGGATGTCACGATGCACGACATGTGGCTTCACCTTGTCATGTAAGAACCTGTTTTGACATATGAACAGGTGAACCACCAATTAAACATGATTCATTCTGCAAAATTCAAATCCTTCCCATTGCAGTCGAAGGTAGAAAGATGAAATAAGGGTTGATACTCTTCTCACCAAAACAAGAAACAAAAATGAAGATTGACAATGATGGCATGACCACCAACACTAAAGGCCAACAATTAAGCAAGCAAGGCAAAGCCATATCAGAAATAAATGCATGGAAAACATCTAAGCTAAGACTAATGTATGATACTGATAGCAGTCATGGGAAAGCCATATCAGAAACAAAATGTTTCGGAAAAAAAGTCAATGCAGAGAGTCGAGATATATTCTAATCTAACCATGAAAAATCCTTAATAAACAATAACCTATGCCAATTTTTATATATTTTTAACAAACCTTTTTCTTTCTAGGTGAAAAATTGCAACTCGATCAAAAGTTCAGGAGGTAATTTGAGAATTTCCCATTTGATTTAAATCTACAAAATTATGATTTCTAATTTATGTGAACAATGATAGTGAGATCTCGGAGAAATGAGAACTATCATGATCATAAGAATGCCGTGAAATAGATGCAAACTGAGAAAAGATCTAAGTGAACAACCAGTCTCAGATTTTAGATCTTTGTTTGACCTAAGACTAAGAGGAAAAGTGATGTTTAACTTACGCAATTCCTTGAGCAAGAGTTGTGGCAATTTTCATTCTCATGGCCCAACCTAAGCTCCGACCACCCCTAGGTATGTGGTGCAGCCATTTATCCAAAGGTCCATTAACTATGAACTCATAAACTATGTAGCGATCACCATGATCATAACAGCAGCCTTTCACAGCCACCAAATTTGGGTGGTGAAGCCTTGCAACCCTTCCAATTTCAGAGTAGAACTCCTTTTTCCTTTGAAAACTAGATCTCTTCAACCTCTTAACAGCGACCCTTGAGCCATCAGGAAGAAGTCCACTATACGTGCCCCCTGTCTTGGCATCTCCCAGAAGACGGTTTCCTTCACTAAAGTTCTTTGTAATTGACCTTAGTTCCTCTTTTATGAAGACTTTCCATGACGGAGGGACTAATGCAGTTTCTGCTGGATTAGATAGTTTGCGGGAACGTCTGCGCTTCTTGCTCCGCTTGTATGCAAGAAGCCAAATCACTACAGCTAATGTTGTGAAGAGAATCAACCCACTTACTACTCCAAGGATAATAAGATATTCTCTGTGGCAATGCATGTGGTAACATCTGTTCCCTGAAAGAAACAAGAGCAAAATTAAATTAGCTGGACAGAAAATGCAAGACTGGAGTTCGTAATGACTTGTATGTGTCAAAAATTACAATATATACCTAAATCAACCATGCATATAAAAGCATGAGACGTATTGCATCTTTCAGCCGAGAGAGATGTGGATCTATTAGTCACCAATATGCATACGTCGACAGAACTATTGGTGTGGCAAGAGATGTTACTGCAAATGGATTGAAGAGGTTCACCAGGAAAGAAAGACCCATTCCAATACGAAGTATTATCAAACCATTTCCAACCAAGACCAATGGTAGAGTTGACACCACTTCCTCCAACCCAGCAGCCACTGGTTTCAGCACACAGATTTTGAGCAAACGTAAGTTCTTGAGATGTTTTGAATGCTGCTAAGTCGCCATTATAACTTTTACAATGGGTTTCTGATTCGTTCCATGGTTGGGGGCTTCTCATATAACCAAAGCACTTCCTCCTATTAGGTCCAAGAATCCAACCAGTAGGGCATGGTTCTGTTTCCAAAAGATTAAAACTATTGAACATAATAGTTTGCTTATAAAGCAATACAGATTATAAAGCGATATAGACTATACTGCAATCAAATTTAACAAGAACACCTTTCCGCATTTGACACAACAGAACATTATCAACATGCTCTTTACCAGCATACTGTCGAATAGAATGCCCACTAATGCAGCTTATAAGCGAACAACATATTCAACACCTTTAATTTCCGTGGTATAACAGTACACTGATGGTTTTAGAAGCATTGAGATTATTTGTTTCTAGAGACAAATTACATGCATCTTCTTGTGCCTTGCATAGCTCAGTTCATTTTTTTACATCATATGTAACCAATCAATCAAGAATAGCATATTTTATGCATCTCAGACCTCAGCAGTCACAGTTCCAATTGTTCTACATGCGTAACGAAAAATTGAATGCCTTGTTAGAACTCTTAAACTCCATCACCTAAATGCATCGTCAGAGGTTCGAGCGAAGCTTTTTTACTTTTAACGGTGATAAAACACTTCATGCCATCCTTCGAAAGGTACCACAATATACACAAAGGAAGGCTTTTTGGTCAACTCTTGTCTACAATCTACTCAAAATACCCATTTCCGCAAAGCGAAAAACTGAAATTTCTACAAACAATTAGGATTTCAAAAGTAAAATCTAGAACTTGAGCTGAAAGGGGTTACTCACACCTTTACTTTCTTCAGTTCCAGAAGCAACCAAATGCCTGCGAATCGACTCCTTGTACACCTAAACAATGAGAGTGCAGCTTCAATAAGTGAATCCACAATTCAAAACATCTTAACAGATCAAATTAAATAGAAAAAAAAAATTTACAAAATTGAAAGAAAATTGAAGTACATTGAGCATCATACTTTCTTACTTACCCTATGTGAATCGCATGCACCCAGCAGAAAGCAAACAATCAGAGGCGCAACCAATTGCAGAGCAATCGGATTCCCTTCCATCAAACCCATTTCATAAACCCTAGAAAAAATGGTAAGCAGGTGAAATTTTAACTGTTACATATCACAGCTTCCTTTCATACCACCAAGCTCTGTAAATTTGAGGCCTTTCACTTCAGATCGTCGCCCCAACGCAGCAGCTAGGAAGTTATAGACAAGTCACTTGTAGGCAATGTATTTTTGTTGGGAAAACTAAGGGCTGCATGGTTAAAATTAAGAATTTTTTTAGCCGCAGTTAAATTTAGGAAGATTTAACTAAACATTTAAGTACCGTTTAGTTTAACAAAAAAACAATTTTACTCAAAAAAAAATCATATTTAATACTATTCACTTACAATATCTTTTTATCCTTTTAATTAAAAATCTATTGTAATCTTATAAGCCATTCAATGTGTGGATGATCAATCCACTACAACTCTACATGTTTGTCCACTAATCCACTTGCTATCTCATTCTTCCATACACAAAAACACAAAGCTTTACGGCTGAAAGGAGAGAAAATAAAGAAGGAAGAAGAGAGGAAGGAGAGAGAAGCCACAAAGCTCACGACAGAGAAAAGAAAAAGAAAAAAGAAAATAAAGAAAGTTATCTTTGTAATTTTATTACTTCATTTTATTCCAGTTAGAGTAAACAGGCTAAACACCCCGCAGTTGTACTTTGACTTGTCATTTTTCGCTTTTAACTTTTCTTTTAGAAAAATCATTTTTTAGTCAATTTGATGGAATTTTTAAGTCAATTTGATGGAAATTTGGAGTTTTGTAGTCAATTTGATGGAATTTTTTAGTCAATTTGATGGAAACTTCCGAATTGCTTTTATCAAATTCACCTAATTATTTAATCTTGATTTTGAAATTTAATTAAACAATTAAAGTTATTTTAACTTTTAAAGAAGCATTTTATTTGTAATCGTTAGATCAAATTTTAAAAATCTAAATTAATTGTTTTTTTATCAACAAAAATCCGAATTGATTAATTGGATGAATTTGATAGAAAAAATCCGAACACGATCCCTTTCCAATTTGGAAGATTGCAAGCAGGCTTAGTTTTCCTTTACAAAGCCGCCGTTTGTTTTTTTATGAGAGAATTACAAAGCCGTTGTTTTACGACTCTCGAATCATGATTTTTTTTTTTTATTATAAAAAAGCAAAATTTTCGTTGAAATAAGGTTCACCATACTAAAAAATTTAACATTTTCTTCGAAATTTTTGTTGTGAGTGTTCTAGGAATTTGTGAAATATGATCGTTTATTGTGTGATCAAATTTTGTAAGGTTTGTTTTTTATTTAAATAAAAAATTTTAAATAATTTATAATCAAACAATAAACGAACACGATTCATAAATCCATAATCTCACAAAAAAAAAAAGCAGAATTCCTAAAAAAATTAAACTAAAGAAAAAAAAATACAGGAGTAGGTAGGTGAGACTGAAATTGGTTGGTGAAGTTGTAGTAAATTGACCCCAAAAGAAAAGTTGGAACAGGAATGACTCACAAATTACAAGTAGAAAGGAGAAGGAGAGAGAGAGAGTAGGGAGAGAGAAATGGAAGGAATATACAGAGCAGTGATGGAGGAGATATGGCGGTACACGGGGTTGTCACCGGCGGCCTTCTTCACAATCGCCGGGATGATGATCGTGGTTTACAGAATAGTCACCGGCATGTTTGTGGATCCCGAAGACTTCAACAAGCCTCCGGTGGCGGCCATCATCAACACCGTCGATTCTTATTCCAAATCCAATTTTGTGAATAAATACTTAAATTCCACTGGGGCGGCGAAGGGCTCGTCGGTACAAATGGGAGATATGACGGAGGAGCAGCTAAGAAAGTACGGCGGGTCTAACCCCAATAAGCCGCTGCTTGTTGCCATCAGAGCTCGGATCTACGACGTCTCTTCCTCCAGGTACTTTTCCTGCTTCTCTTCCCTTCTTTGATTTTCACATACTTTTAAACTTTTGATTCAACATTTTTGTACTAATTTTTAATTAAAAATTATGATTTTTATTATATTTAATTAACCAATTAATTCAGAAAATAATATCACAAATATTTTAAAATCACCACAAACATCCTATTTTATCTTATCATAATTCATTCAAAATGAATTTTTCTTATTCAAATAATTTGTTGTTTTAAATTCTAAAACATGCACATATATTAAACATAATGTACCAATCATTTGGTACATTATTGATACGTTATATAAATTTAATCTAAGTACGTATTAGTATTTTGGTATGTTATAAAATATTACTTTTGGTACATTATGCAATTCTTTATTTAGTATATATCAAGTTATAAGTACGTTGTATTATCATTATTTTTGTACGTACAAAACTTATGGTATGTTATGTGTAAGTTGTGTAACCCAAAAAACTACATCTCAATTTTAATTATAAACGACTCTTGTTTTTTTATAATCTATATAAAATGTTGAGTTGGAAATTGGAAAAATTATATTTCATCCAATGAATCTTGGATCCCAATAGATATAATTAAATCCTTAAATTAAGGAAGGGATGAGATTTCATAAAAATAGCAATAAATTAATGAATATTATTGAGTGCATGTTTTTTCACTCATAAATGAATTTAAAAGAATTTATAAAATACTTAAATTAAGAATATATCCGGAATATAAAGTTTAATTAAAAGTGAAAGCACTTTAATCAAAAGTTGAAAAGTAACAGATATTTAATTTAGAAAAATCTAAAATGAGACATCTAATTCTAATTTATCTAAAAAAATATTGCTATTCAAATCTCTTTTTACTTTTTATATTTTTTTTTGTTAATTTTTGTCCATCAGAATATTATGTAATCAAATTTGAAGGTAAGAGCAACCTCCAACCGATTGATATATGAGAAAAAAGTGATGTCAAATAATTTTTAATTATTTTATTATATGAGTAACATGAATGCATCAATTATAGATTTTGAAACTTTATTTTAATTGATTTCTTTTTAAAATGGATCGTACAAATATTATTTAAATTAAAAAAACATATTGGTTAGAAAAAAAAGAAAATCTGACATTATCACGTCAACAATCACATTAATATTTATTATTTATCTGTTGACATCTCCTTTGAAGATGTTCTAATGTTCTTCAACTCGTTCAATTTGACGATTGAAAATTGACACGGTATGTGAGAAAAAAAGTAAATATAATAATACAATTGATTAAAAACTTAAAATAAAATTTCAATTAATTGTTTTATAACACTTGTTGTACTGGACTATATTCTCGACACACAGAAGAATTTCTCAATTTGTACACTCGCTTGACGTCATCTGCACTCCTCATTTTGTTTATGTTGATTCTGCATTGATTGACTCGAATTCTAAGACGTCAGAAAGGGAAGGAGTGCACGAGGATAAAATGAAGCATGAAAATCACTTTACTTTGTCAAACTCGGACAAATTTTATGGACTTCAAATTTGAGTTTCTAAACCACAATTTGTTCAAAATTTAGCGGCCAAATTGGTTGCTCAAATTTCGGTGCAAATTAAAATCATAATTTGATGCATCTTACAATACAACGTGCAATGCAGGAACTTTTACGGACCAGGTGGACCGTACGCCATGTTTGCTGGAAGGGAAGTTAGCAGAGCGCTGGCTCTTCTGTCTTTTAAACCCCAAGACATAAACGGCAACCTCGAAGGTCTCGGCCCTGATGAACTTGGCATATTACAGGATTGGGAAGAGAAATTCATCGAAAAATATGACAAGGTCGGGCAGCTTGTAGCAGAGCCGAGGGCGAATTCTGATGAGCAAACTGAGGGCGGTGGAGATGAAGCTCAATCGGAGGCAAATGGACAGGCACAGTAGAACCAACCTTATGCAGTGGTCGTTGATGATACTTGTTCGATTATGTCCCGTTGAATCCCTAACATTGGGATGATGGATTGCTAGGGTTTCCTTCTATCTGATATGAGCACAAATATATTCCTAATCCTGTACGTGCATAGTATATGTATCACTTGTTAGTTATACAATGCAGCAAAATGTCATCAAGAAATGATTGTAGTAGACCTTTACAGTGGAAATTCGTGTTAACGGGTTATATTTGCCATGATGTTTCCGGCAATCAGGTTAGGGTTTAATTTATGAAAGATGGAGTTTAAAAAACAACATAATGGACACTTTCTTTTACAAACACAAGACACGGAACTTTCATGTTAATCAAGCCAAACGAATAAACGTAAGGTAAAAGACATGTACCTGATAGCACCCATCGCCAATATAGACGTCAAAATATTACTGGTTATGTCCGTCAAACTTTGGCTCATTCCGCTGACTAACTTCACTTCCAGAATTGTTCAAGCATCAACTGCTGAACGAAGGCTGTAGAAGAATCTAATGGCAATTTCCTGGGCCCTGTTGGCTTGTCCATGTAAACTCCACAATTCCTGCAAACCAGAACTATCACAAATAGAATTTACCTAAACTAAGAATCACTTCAACCGTTGGTCATATGCTCTATCAATTTAATTTGTCTCCGCATTTGACAGTTTTCCGCCTTCACTCAATAAACCACAATTATCATCCACCTCCGCCATCTTTCAACTTCGGCTAAAATTCCCAAGCATACAGAATTTCCCCTCTCTATCTATATCACTGATCCACCAATCCTCACACAATTGTAATAATTTAACAAGCTACAACCAAATAAAAATGGGTACGAGCTAAAGATAAACGGAAAGAAATTCAACAGCAAAGAGTAAAAATGAAAATAGGAGACAATATATCAAGCATATAGATAGATCACACAACCACCTTAAAAGTTACACACTTGATCATCAGAAACTAACAAGAACTTTGGTTTTATCTGTACTAGTAGAAAAGCACTTTGGTTTATGCATACAATGATACATCAGTAAAAGATTTCTATATATGATACAGAACCGCCATTGAAGCGTTCCAATAATTGTAATCTATCTACACGAACAAAGTACTTAGTAGTTGAGAGGAACAAACAATAATGAATCAAGCATAGATAGATTATACAAATACTTTGAATGAGACATACTTTGTCCTCAAAAACTGGTAAGAACTCTGATTTTATTTGCACGTAACTGTGGTGATTTGAGCAGAGGACATGTAAGTACAATTAGCAAAAGGTTAGCTAGGGACTTTGGTGGCTGGCTCCGACTGCTTCTCTGTATGTGCTTTGGCTTTTCGAACGGATCTCATGGCTTCTTCAAATGATTTCTGAATGAAAAGGAAAAGCATGTCAGTGACACAATGTTGGAAAGATTCATTCGAAGTTATACGACCATCACAGGACATTCCTCAATGAAGAAAAATGGGATTTAGAATTCAGGATAGAAAAGATAAAAAACCTTCCCCCATACATCTCTGGTCTCAACAAGATGGGGTCTAAAATCAAATCAGCCTAAAGTAGCTCAAACATGTCACTAAAAAAGGAGTCATTCGATGCTGGGCTGGAGCTTATGTTAGAAAATTATATTCGTGCGTATCTCTAGTTTTACTTTTGGCATTTGTATTTTACATTACACAACAGTACATAAAAAGCACTCTAAATGACAATAATCAAACTTTCTTCAGTTTCTAGGAAGGAATCACGTAGCTTTGCCCGAAGAAATCATATAGTAATTCAAATATTTACAGCCTTAAGATAATTTTAGGCTCAATTTCTATAAACATACAAATGACTGATCCACCCACAGGATTATATAAGCAAAAATTAGTGAAAGCGTGAACTGAGATACAAAAGTCCAGGGTGAAGAAGGAAACTAAAGAGCAACGTACCTCATTATTATGCATCTTCCAGAAGGCATCCCAGCCCAAATTAACAACTGCCATGCCACCTAAGAAAGCCCTGCATAAAATTCATATACCAATGAATCATTTCCAAAGAGAGAATTTACCCAACATCCTACATTGATTATCCAAATTCCGAAAGGGGCACGCTAAATGTAATTCCATCATCAGGTAAAATGTATGTTTTTTACAGCATCGAATTAACTAGAATCGAAAACAGCAGGCCAAGTAAGCCAACATCTAACATTGAGCTTAACCCGTGAACATGAACCAAATCGAAAAAATGCAGCTAACCCTAACTTCCATAACAAGTCAGGTGATTGCCACATGTTCAGCAATTAAGCAATTAACAGTAACTGGAAAGCAAACCCAAATCCAAATGAATGTAAAAATCAACCAACGAAATTTACAGACAAGTGAAATGAGAGAAAGTTTATCCCACCCTGCTACAGAGACATTGAGAAGGAAAGCGCGGGTCGTGACATATCGGAGTAAATTCTCAAAGGCGGAGGAAGCTCTGTTGGCGGCTCCAGAACCGCCACCTCCTCTTCTGTAACTGTAAGTATTACTTCTACTGTATCCATAACCGTAACTGCGAGTGTAGGTATTGTAATTGTTGTGGGGGCGGCGAGAGCTCTGGAAATTGTAGTCGGCGCGCTTGCGATCGTCGGTGAGGACCTGATAGGCCTCGGAGACCTGCTTGAATCGGACGGTGGCGCTGTCTCTCTCCGCCTTGGGGGAAGCGGAATGCTTGTCTGGGTGCAGCTTCACCGCTAGCTTCCTGAACGCTTCCTTGATTTCGGCTTTGCTCGCGTTCCTCGTCAGCCCCAATACCTTGTAGTGATCCATAATTTCGTTATTTGATAGATTATCTCGACCGAACGATCGTCCCTTTCGTAATTAGGGTTTCAATTTGTTGATTGGAATTGGGAATTGGGAATTAGGCATTGAGGAGTTAGGGTTTATCAATGCGTTTAGTCTTGGAGAATGAAGGGTTGGGTTATTCAACGTCGTGGCATCGCCAAAGCCGCATCCTTTTCTTCATGCAGTTCGCAATTGAATTTTGGAAGTTTTAAGGAAAACTCTACGTAATCTTCATTCTAACGAAAAATCATATTTTTACATTAAAAATATTCACTTTACCTTTTATTTTACCCTTATTATTAAAATTCAAAGTTTTCAAATCCTTTTCATTAGTTTTCCTTTGATTTTTCAGGTGAAAATACCACTTTCCCCATTATACCCTGCCGAACTTAGATAAAGGTTTAATTAAAGGGGAAACGAAAATCATATTTTTATACTACAAAGTCAATCCTATTACTATTTATTTTACTTTTTATTTTGTTCTTATCGTTAAAAGTTTTCAAGTCATTTCATTAGTTTTTCTTAATTAAAGAGGGGACAACATGTGTCAAGCCACGATTATCTATCCCTTTCAGAGGTCGGGAACAATGAGTTTCAAACCTAAGATCTCTAGTTTTTTATTTGAATCCAAGACCTCTAGTTTTTAATTTGAAATAAAACTCGCAATCCGTCATTTACCACTGGACTATCAGCTCGTGGTTATTGTATTCAGATTTCACATTTCCTTGTCTATATTAAGTTGCAATATCAATTAAATACACCAAGTCGTTAAAATTTTAAAACATGATTTGGTGAAGAAAGTGATTAATTATGCTTTGCACTCCCATGGATTGGTGTTGTAACACATTAATCCATATCTTTCAAAATATGGGGAATTTTTTTTAAAAATAGTTACAAATTGTTAATACCATATTTCTCTGCATTCGTCAAATGATTATAACTGCTTTAAAATTTATCGAGTTTACTTTTTATCACATGAATTTCAGCTTATGCTTAACAAGTTATCGAATTCATAATAATAATGTATTGTGAAATTTTTATATTAAAAGCAAGAGGAAATTGTAGTAATGACTTCTTAACTTTAATCCAATTAGAGTAATGATTTCTCAACTAAAAATTTATGATCATTGATTCCTTAACATATCAAAACGTACAACTTTGATCTTTTTCGTCAATTTTGTCAAAACGAATCACTTATCACATACGTGAGGCTAGATAATGGGAAAATATGGAAAATCAAATAAGAAAATTGTAGCAATAATCCTTCAACTTCAATTTAATTGGAGAAGTAGTCTTTCAACTTTAACTCAATTAGAGCAATAGTCCCTCAATTTTAACTCAATTGTAACAATGGTCATTTCACCGTGGTTCACTTTGACAGAAGTTCTGACAGAGTTGACAAAAGGAACAATAATTGCACGTTTTGATGAATTAAGAAACTAATAGTCATAATTAAAAGATTAATAATCACGAATTTTTAGTTGAGGAACTTTCTCTAACTGAAAGACAGTTGTTATAATTTTATCTAAAAGCGAAACTTAACATTCAAGATTTACTGACAAACAAAGGGACCAATGTACCAAGTTGTAACCACGAAAGTGACTTTTCCCAAATTTTAAAACATAGGGGCCAAAGAGTTACAAGCCTCAAACTACGAGGTTGCAAACTGTAATTAAAATTTATTCAAAGGTCAAAAGGTAATCTTTCTTTTGATCAAAAGGTCAAAAGGTAATCTAAGCAACGCAAAGTGCAGGTCCCTCTTCTCCCCCAATCGACTCGGACGCGGTTAGCTCTCGTCATTTTTCACTTTCCCAACGACGGAACGGAACCGAATAGTCGGATTGTTCATCACCTCCACCACCGGCGAACCGGCGTACGCGGTATGAATCTTGTTTTCCGATTTGTGTTTATTTTTTCATAAATTGTCTCGCTTTCGATTTTCATTTACTAGATTTTTACGGTAAAATCTTACTTCTTTAGTTTTTGTTTGTGTTATTTTTGTTGATTTCTTCTCTGAAACCGATGCCTGAATCTCAAATTTTGTGCTCGAAATCCGATTATTCTCTGTGATGATTGATTTATGTGTCGAATTTGTTACTCTTAGTTTCAATTTTAGCATTTGAAAAGTAGTTGCTAATTGTACGAATGGAAATGATTTTCACGAGATTTGGCGCAATGGAAATGTTGTTCCTTTGTGACCGAAATGTAACGGGTTCAAATCATGGAAACAGCCTCTTTGCAAAGCAAGGAAAGGCTGCGTACGTCTCCCCTCCCCTGACCCTCCCAAAGAAGGGAGCCTTGTTGGCTTGGCGTCGCCCATTTTACTCCATACAAAGGACAGAAATGAACTTGATTCTGCGTGCACGGAGGAAAGGGGTGTGCGGAAATCACTTACCTCGTAAATATTGTGAGCAGCGTTGCCCGGCAAGAACATTTATCTCCCTCACATTGTGTTTGTTTCAGTTTCGTGTTTGTTGGATACTTCTTAATAGAAGAGTTTTTGTGACTTGTTGACATGTATATGGGATTGCAAATGTGGTCTGTTTAGCACATTCCTTGACTCAGATAATCTATTTTTTGGTTTCTAATACTTTGGGGTACTGGGTACAGATCATTTGTGTCACTGGAGAAAAAGATGAAGGGCCAAAGCAGCTATGCTCCACCTGCTTACATTCCGTTGGGAATGTCGGATTCTGAATCAGCGATTGTATTGCACAGTGAAGACACTCCCATGCAGCAAAGCAGCGGTGATGGGCCCAAACAATGGTCTTCTGGAATCTGCGCATGCTGTGACGATATGCAGAGCTGTACGCTATTTTTTGCCTTGTGACCTTGATTTATCTGGAGGAAAAATTAAGAAGGTGCATCTTGAGTAGGGAAAACGAAAAGTAGCTCGTTCTCAACTAACCCCATACAATACCATATGCTCAGCTCTTAGTTTTTATGCATTAATGTACTCGAGTACCTCTTCGTTCTGTGGAGGACCTCTTTTTAGTCTGAATTCGTGACTGGTATGCAATATCTGAATTTTTGGCAGGTAAGTGTGCCCAGATATTTTTTAAGATCAAACAATAATATATTATCCGATAAAACTTGACGAGAACTGTAGGAGTCATTATAGGATTAGAATGACTCAAGTTATGAAGTGTACATTAATAGAATACCCCCTTGAACAAAATTTGGATAAAGATTGATATATTACGAAGTACTTTAAATCTCATTTTAAAGACGTGATATCTAGTCTGGTGTGAGGTAAAGCAGGGGCTGCTGGTATATACTCTGTGTTGTTAGTGGTGAATAAATAGATGATAATGTTCTTAAGACGTTAGAGGAGGTACATGGGCAGAGGATAGGTACCAACGATTGCTATTTATGTTCGTAACAGTAGGAGTTTCATCCATCATGTCTCCGGATTATGACTTTCAAAACAATAACCACCATCTAATTGCTGATTTTTTTTTTTTTTAACAGGTTGTGTAGGTCTGTTTTGTCCTTGCTTTCTGTTCGGAAAGAATGCAGAATTTCTGGGTTCTGGGACATTATTAGGATCATGCATGACTCATTTTATTTTGTGGGCACTGGTTAATACTGTCTGCTGCTTATTGACGGAGGGTCTGTTTTTGGGCATACCGGGATGCTTTGTTGCATGTTATGCTTGTGGCTACCGCAGTGCCCTAAGAACAAAGTATAATCTTCAGGTATAACATTGATTATCAATTTTACAGTCTTAAAGTCTGTTAACTGTTAAGAGTAGAAAAGTTTTAATTTTGTGTTTTTATTCTCTCAGTTCCTTCTTGATTTTTGTTTTACTTTTTATCTGAGTTTCAATATGCTTTTGACGGTTTGAGAAATAGAAATGGTTACTAAAAATATGGTTGATTATTGTAGCCATTGGGCCTGACATATTGGTTAAGTACTTTGATACCATGTTAAAATTCGAGTATCCAACGCAAAAACAAGTGGCAATTCATGCCTATGCAGCACAATATGTAAGGCTTACCACTACAGGATAAAAAATAAAATAAATGGTTCTTCATTTGTCATGCAAGGCTTCGAGTTGCTGATGCGGGATTATATTATCATCAAAGGAAAGATGTAATTACCATTTGTGTGGTAAGGGAATGTGACTTTATATAGGGCTCAATGGCAGAACATAATTTTGATTACTTTGATATAATATGTTTGGGGGAGGTCATGAACTACTCAAAACTTTTTGTGTGACAACTGCTTAAGTTTATTTTATTACTCCACTAGGGCTTATCATATAGTCTAGGGTTTCTGTCAGAATAGTTGGAATGCCATGCTGTGGAGGAATAATGCTTGTCTATGAATTTTGTAGGAAGCGCCGTGTGGAGACTTTGTCACTCATTTTTTCTGCCATCTGTGTGCCATTTGTCAAGAGTACCGGGAGATCCGTGAAAAGTCTGATTCCGTCCCTCCTGACCTGAGTCTGGCTGTAGTTACAGCCCCATCAGTCCAGACAATGGAACCAGGTCTCCAAATGTAAACCACTGTTTTAGTACTCCTGTAGGATCAGCATTTGGTTTAGGTTATACAACCTTCTTCCTGCCCTTACATGGATAATATTATCGAAGCCTTCCACCATTTGTTTTTATTTTCACTTGAGTTCTTTGGTCTCTACCAGGGTTGGTTTTATTATGTTATCCGCACGATGTACTCTTCTCATTCCTTCTTCTATATGTGAAAATGACCCTCTTCTACCTCATTTATGAGCATGATAGCATTTGCATCATTCTGTTGGTTGACTCCAGAAATGTTATTTGCTTCCAAGTTTGAAGTGATGACTGCGGGTTCTCTCGTTGATGCGGTTGCTACAGGTTTTACTTCTTTATATCGATCCTGTAAAGTGCTATATCTCCATTCGTTTTTCGTTGTCTAATTCTTTGCTCGAGTGTCGCTGTGGATTGGGACAAAGCTAAACTTATAACCAGTACTGCCAGGTTACAACTTATACCGTCTTTGTCTGCTGCCTTCATACCTCTTCGTTATTCTCCGAGGATTCCCGTGTTTGAGGTTTCCTTCCTCAACTTAGCTTCAGATGGAGAGATTACGAGCAACAACCGATGGCTCGTATTTTGCCGCGTTTGCGGTTTACTGCACTTTCCTCAGGTCGGAAGTTTCGGTTGGCTTCGTGTTCGGATTCGGAATAGGGTTTCAAATTTGGGATCAACTTTGTGTCGTTTCAATCCTGCCATCCCATTCCCAGCCTCCTATCATTGCCTTTTTGCTTTCAATATTCTTGTCCCATGCATCAGTCTGATTGGATGTGTTCTTTCGTTTTGCTTTGCACTGGTGCTGCCTTCATTACCTTCTTGGACCGGACTAATTTTGCCAGGAGGATCCACTTTCTGCCCATAACACTATCTGCTATGCTTTTAGCAACTTTTCACGTGGTGTGATTCGCGGCTTTAGCAAGGGCACTTTACTCTTATGCCCTGCTACCCACAGCTATGTAAAACATCTCCTTTGTGGACACGTCATCGGTTTAGTTTCGTTTTCTTAGGTATGTAGTAGATTTTATGTGTTGCTTAGGCAATTTGTTTGTGTCGCAATAGCAATTTGTGTGGCCTTCTTGTTTGCGATGACTTTATGTGAGGCATTGCCGTCTTTGTGATAAATTTGTCTCAAGACTCTTGGTTCTTGTGGTTTTGTGTGTGACCGTATAAGGGTTCTAGAATTATTTACGTTATGTTTAAATTATCTTCAGATCAAAAAAATTGATCATTGGATATAATTTATCCATCTGGCACCTCTTGTACTTGATTGTTCTTAATGATAAAAAACTATCGCTTATTGAAAAAAAAAAAAAAAAAAAAAAAAAAACTTTTACATGGTGAAAAAAAAGTTCATCAAATTTGTTCCACATTTTCTGGGTTAAACGGCCTTGAGCTTCTCTTGTCAAACAAACACTAAAATCCAAAAAGGAAAATAAATAATAATTCCTACAAAATTAATATTTGCATTTACCAAAAAATGCACATATGTCCGGTGTTTGAAAAATCGGAAAAATTAAAAAAAATATATGGAAAGGAGATGAAGTCTAAACTCCATCTTGGAAAGAATTGATAGATTTTGTCGATATTTTCAACTTATCAGTTTAAATATCCATATGAATAAATTTCCATCATTTTCATCAAAGAAAATCAAGATCAATTTATCGATATTTCCATAAATGTGCATATCGATAATTCTATCGATACCGATATTATATATCTCAGTTTTTGCGAATAATTTATATTAACCATTTAAAATTTATAATCGAAATCATGTAATTACTTAATCTTTATCTGATAATCATTCATACAAATAATCAATGGATTCGAAAATCATTTATATATTCAAATATAAACAAATCAATTTTAATAGTTAAGCGGGACAAGAATATGACCCGCATAGAGCCACTTGATTCTTCCCTTTATTTTCGAGTGATTAGACTTGTAATTATTTCCATAAGTGGCAAACCTGACACAATTATTTGAAAGAGAAAGGTATATTATATACAAGCTCTTTATTCAATGGGATCTCTAGTTTTTGATAAAAAATAGAGTTCACTCAACTTCGAGCTTCAACAATCTGAATCATCTATGTTTCAAATTGTACTTTATAGATTATTATTGCAAAATATTAGCCAAATCATAAATACTTGACATATGTAATTGAGTTTAAAGAAGTTGACGAGCCGTATGTTCAAAGAAACATTGAAATTTCATTATGACAATCAAATAAGTAAATGATTTCGGATTGAATTGATTTTTTACAAGGATAATCTACAAATAAAGACTTAAAAAGTAGACAATTTAGATCATTAAAGTTCGACGTATAATGAGCCCCACAAATAATCTCATTTTAAATAAAGAAAAAGGCAAATAAAGATTGCCATAAACTTTCGATTCCGGTTTTTGTCTGCCAATTAATAACAACGTTTTTTTGTGTGTGATTATTCAAGAATATCCTTAGAATTCGAAAAGTAAACTTTATGAATGGCACCAAATTATACACATTTCAATGTCACCTCTAAACTTTTAATTTAGTTTTATTCTCTTTAAACTCTTAATCCTTGTCAATGTTCTCCCGATGTTTCGTGTGAAGTTATCTGCCATCAAATTTAGGGTTATTTTTGTCAATATTGTACAGTACGAGTCTTTGAGTTTGGTTCAAATGTGCCCTTTTCTTGTAAATCAAGTATCAAAACTCGAAATGTTTACTAATTTTCTTTGTTAATAGAGTATTTCGTTGACGTATAAGGCCCTTAAAATTGGTTGTTACATATTTACGGTTAGGTTCTCATCCCTCTTTTTGCTACTCAATTGATTAAAACCATATTTCTTTTCAAATTTTAATCAATTTTAATCAAGGTCCTTAGGTTTTATTTCAATAACAAAATATTTTTTATTTCTAAATATAGTCATTTAGTGTTAGAAATGTTACATTTGGTATATTCATATTTATGACTAAATTTTTTATCATATATTTTTATTTTAGTTTGTACCCATTTTTAATTTGCAACCCTTTTTTAATTTGTACCAATTTTCTTTTCAGTTTTAATTTCTACCCATATATTAATTTCTTTTTGTGCCCATATTTTTTAAAGTTTTTTTTTGTATTTGTACCCATTTTTAATTTTTTTAAATATACCCATGCTAATTATATGTATTTATTTTATGTTTTAAACTATATAAGTAGTTATTTTTTAAAATATGTTAATAATTATGTGGGTACATTATTTTCTTCCTATAAGTTTGTGAAGAATAATATTGCTCTAATATTTATTTTTAAGTATTTATTATATTTTAAAAATATTATTTGAATTTGTTTAAATTTCATAATTTGTGGGAAATTAAATGCATAAATGCATGAGTTAAATCTTTTAAATAATGTTAAGGACCTCAATCAAAATATTTAAACAAACAAAGTTTCAGTCTAACAATTAGGCTAATTAGGGATCGAAACCAAAATGACTCTTAAAAAAAATTATTGGGAATCAAAACCAAAACCAAAACCAAATTTAAAATTTCGAGAGTTGAGTGGAATAAGATCAATGTTTAGGGACCATTGTTTACTCTTTTTTTTTTTTTTTTTTTTTTCCAAATTAAAATTTTAACTTCTAATGTATAATCTCTCTCCTTCTTATATATAAACTCTCTCTCCCTCTCCCACTCTATAGAACAACTCATACACACGTAGGGAAGTGAGAGAGAGAAGCGAAGAGGAGAGAGAGAGGGAATGGGAATGGGAATGGGATTGGGATTGCTGGGGAGCTCAACAATCCCATTGGGAGTGGGAATGGGAGGAGTAGTGGGCGAGCATTGCTGGGAATGGGGGAGGAAGTACTTGGAGTTCGAAGTCTGCAGCGTGAAGGACGGCATGTCGTTGGCGCTGGGTGTAATCAGCGTACTCAGTTGGGGTGTCGCTGAGGTTCCCCAAATCATCACCAACTACAAGGCCAAATGCAGTCACGGCCTCTCTCTTGCTTTCTTGATCACTTGGATTGTCGGGTAATATTCTAATCTACTCTAATTTACGGAAAATGGGTTTAGGGTGTAGGATTTAAGAGTCGGAGTACAGTGCCCTAACCAACTAGCCTAACGTACATCTGTTTAATAGTTACATCAATGTCATTTCATATATTTCAAACATGAAACCTCGGTTGCATGCATAAATATTTTTGACCACTTGAGTTATAAGCGCTTTTGCCAAACTATAATCCAGTGCAATCTTGAAGTTCTTGAAGTTTATTTCTTTGGCCAAATGACATACATGCTCTGTGTTTTTCTACGATTTTCAGCCTTCGGACGTCCTTGCACTTTTGATACTGATGTAAGATTAATTGCTTTGGAAAAGTCCAAAGAGTATCTCACTCTCACAAATACATTTGTTCTTGACGATTTGTGTACTTTTTTGAATTTTTGAAACGTGTTGGATCATTCTTTTCGATTTCAAACTGGAATTTCAATCTTTTATTTGGACCTGTAACTAATTTTATATCAAATTCTTTTGCAGGGACCTGTTTAACCTTTTCGGCTGCCTGCTAGAACCAGCTACTGTGAGTGTCGTTTACTGTTTCATTGTTTTCATAGCTTTCGAAACTTTGTTTAAGGTTTTTAGCTTTTATTTATTGTTTGCGTGTAAACTGTATGATTCGTGATGATTTTGTGTCAACTTTATGACCAAAGCGCATTTGCAGAGGAGACATGTCTCCAGTATTTGTTAGTACATTGCGGCAGACATGTCTCCTTTAGTCTCTGTCAGTTCAAATCATCGTAATATAGAAGGCTAAGTTAACCCCTAATGTAAGAGTGTTAGTTTCGTTAATTGCTAATGGGAAGACCTATACTTGTGACATGGCTTTAAAGAAGACAACATTTTGTTTTCCTTCCCATTGTTGTTGTATGTGTAGGAAGTATGCTTATAGTATAGATCACTTGTGGCGTTGAGTAATGAGCACTTAGTTGAGAAGTTTATAATTTGGGGGGAAAAGAAAAAGGTTCTAGCTCTGGAAATGTTCTATGATGGAAATTCTTTGGGTTATATGGGTGGAAATGAAGAGGAGGGCTTTTTAGAATGTGCTCGGAGAGGAGGTGGACTGGATGCATCCGACCCTAATAGATTTTGTGCCCGGAGGAGTTTTGGGAATGTGCTCTTTATCTTGATCCATGTTCCATATATAAATTCTGTTTTTATGTACAAGTAGGAGTAGAGTTGCTCACAAATTTTGACCATGATGCTTATTAGGATTTTTTATTTTGTTTTATTGCTTCCCCAAGATGTTATGGTCATAATCTCAGTTTAAGATACGCCATTTTTAGATAAACATTTCTTTCACGAGGAAAAATTATTGGTGACTAACTGCCTTTGTATACTTGCTTATGCAGCTTCCAACACAGTACTACACAGCAATTGTAAGAATGTTGACTCAAGCTGCACTTTGATATCTAAACAACATAGGTTTTTTTATTTAAATTTACTTCGTGTCATTAACAAATAAGTTGATGCGATCTTTCTCTGTTTTCTTGGTATGCAGTTGTATTTAACAACCACATTAGTTCTTTCTGTACAGACCATATACTATGGTTACATATATCCTCGTCTTAATAATTTGAGACAGAAAAAGGTTAGATTCTATGTCCTCGTCTCCTCTTATATAATGTGCATAGTCATTACTCTTTTGACACTCATGCATGTTTTATTTCAAGTTCAATTTCAAGTTTATAACTTAGGAATTAGAGAGATATTCAAGTTCGTCTCAGAGAGACTTGAATATCTCGTAGTCCCTGAAGTATAAAACAGTATCATATAACTGGAGCACGTAATTTACTTATAACCGTTACATTTGCTTATTGAACTACTTTCTGCTTTAGGTTTCTTTTATCCTTTTTACAGTCATACATAGAGTATGCATAATGCTTGTATCAAAAGCAAGTGAATACCTCTAATGCACTTATCTGTAATTTAGGGTTCCAAGACTAATCCGGCTGAGGTTCCAGGAAAAGCTAGTGGCAGGGTTAATGTGATTGACACCCCCATCTGCAGGAAATGAATGGAGTTCACCCATTCTTTGTCCCAATCTTTCTCCCAGACGAGAATCATACTACATGTAATTGATTTTTCCGTTTTCATTGACAAATTATTATCAATTATTCTCTTACAGTCTTGCTTTTTATAATTTAACTGATGAAGAATTCGATTGGATCACCAAAGTTCTATATGCATTTTCTCAAGTGTGTGTCCTTTGTTAAATTTCAGCCAAAACCTGGTTCTGCCTAAAAATGCAGATACCAGCCGTTGACAGAAAAATTACTGTTCTGGATAGTTGCAGATCTATTTTAATTTGCGTCATTCAATAACTCGTGTATGCCTTTTGACTGCTTGTGCTCGAGACTTGGAGATATTCATTCCTCTCTGATTTTTCTAATAGAGCTTTTGATCAGTTGCTCACCCTTGCTACCTATATAAGCTTGAAATCATGAAACAAAATGTTGCTAGCTGAAATAGTTGGTAACATTTTTACAGAACGTCTGAAACTATAATCAGATGGTTTCTGACAGAATTTTAAATCTGCACAGTGCAGTGATCTATCTAATTTTCGTTGTTGACAATCGTGATCATGTAATTGGATATCTGTTTTCTTGGAAATTCATCAGATCGGCAAGATCTTTATCAAGGAGTCACACCCCTTCAGAAGGATTTCATGCAGCACAAAGAACAACTCTTCCATTTAATCGTAATCGAAATCCAAATGAAGAGCCCTTGCTTGGTGCACTTGCATCTACACAATCTGCACCATCTAATAATGTCAAAACTACGCTGTGTGTGGTGAGCTCTACATTGCTGATTGTATAATTATATTCTGTTGTTCTAGCACTTGATCTTACGATGTAAACTTTTGTCTCTTCTACTTTAGGTCTCGCTAATGACCCTCTTTTGCACTTTTAATCAACGATCAGTTGATTTAAGTGTTGATAATCCAAATCGAGGAGTAGTGATGCAAGTAGGAAGAAGGCTGTTGCAGGTAGTTGACATTCCAAAGTATTAGTTTACTTCACTTTTACTACTTTTAAGATTCTATATATAAAACTGGTTGGGCAGCAGTATTTTTGTTGCGCAGACCACTAGTGTTTACTGTTAACCAGTTTTCGCTTTCAGTTGCCTCTTAACTTTTAAGCTATTGGATAAGTGGCCTATTAGTTGGAATGCTGGGTAAAAGAGTTGGAATATCTTTTATCATCATTATCCAATTATCGTCATCATTATTGTTCTCAACTTTTGAGTTTGTTCTTTTCTGGTGAAACGCTATTTGAATTTCAGGTAAATAGTAGGCTGTTGCGAGAAATGGGTACTAAACATAGCAGTGGGATAGGAACTTTCCTTGGTTGGGGAATGGCAGTTATTTACATTGGTGGACGGTTTCCCCAAATTTACTTAAATGTGAGTAGTACCCTTAGAAGTAGTCAATTTCTTTCGTGAGTAGTACCCTTTATTATAGAATATGGGCATTCGCCTTCGTCTCAGTGGTCTGAGCAATGTTAACTTCTGGTTCTTGATCAATTTTTTTGCAGATCCGCAAGGGGAATGTTGACGTAAGCATTTTCGCCTTCATTGTTGTAGTTAATAATGGATGGAAAAAGAAAGTTAATCTGTGTTTATGTTAGGCATAAGCTCAAGTTTAGGGGTTATTTGTATTTTGTTTTAGTTTTTATCAGAATTAGGACTTTGTGGGTTAATTCGTTATGTGAATTTTGTAAAACTAATATACTTTAAGGTCTAATCATACTCTAGTAAGACGATCCTCTTTGTCGACAAATATATATGTAATACCAAATATTCCCTTATTATTGAAATGAGTATCAATGAGAGAGATAATTTTTCTGTACAATATGCAGGGGCTTAATCCTTTTATGTTCATCTTTGCTGTTGTTGGAAATGCAGCTTACGTCGCAAGGTGAATATTGCTTAAACTTTTATGGTTCTTTTACTACTGTTTGGCCTTTTGATTTACAGCCATTTACCTTAGCGTAAGTTTGAAACTAAATGGTGTATTTTCTTACCACAACGTGGGATGTTTCGAGTGTTAATTTAGTCTGTTTTACTAATGGTCGTGGTTCTTTGTTGTGTAGCATTTTGGTGAACAGCATGGAGTGGTCGAAAATCAGTCCTAATCTTGCGTGGCTGGTGGATGCTGGAGGATGCATGCTTCTGGATATTTTTGTATCCCTTTTATATCGTCACTATTTCATATGTTTCTTCGAGCATAGCACACTTTGGTACTTGTTAAATAGTAAAGTGCATTCACATACTGGAAAGATTTGTTATTGTAGTTTCCTTCGAACGTTGAGCTTTTTTCTTGCAGAACAAGCAATATCTTGAACAATCTGAAATTCTTGTACCTTAATGTAGTTTAGATACTACTTCAATTCTTCCAATACTGGAGACGCCGAAATGTAGGGGGTAAGGATAGACACTCCAATGCAGCCTAGTGAACGAAGGAATCACATAAAAAACTTCAAGGTATGTATCTCTCTCGCTCTCTCTTTCGTCATATTGGTATGGCTTGTTGGCTTTAAGATGTTCTGTTGTGGCATATGGTATTATCAGTTTCAAGTTGCATCATTTCGCTTAAACTTTGTTGGGTTCGTGAGGTGTAGAGAATGGTAAAAACCCTAACATGAAGATGTAATTTTCCTCTTGAAACATTGGTCATTAGCTGTCAACTTAGACGTTCTACAAATCATTCTGTTGTGCGACCTAGTTCTTGTAGGAGCAGACAGATTTGAACCTGACATTCATATAATCTTGGGACAGCGAAACCTCTGCAGTTCGCAGAAACAGAACCGTGTGTCATAATTTCTCAAAATGTTGTAACCATGCAACTTAGAAACTTTGAACCATGAACATATATCGTGGAAAGAACATTGGATAGAAACGAAAGTAAGAAGAAAGCGTTTTCCTAATTCCGCAAATGATCGGTTTTTCTCTAAGTGCACATTTTACTCTTTCGATATTCATCTCATTGCTGTCCAGATGCTAATGCTATAATCTAATTTACTTCACTTTCTCTGAATCAGGATTCATAATTTTCCAGGGAGCCATGTACGTAAATGAATCTTCGTCGCTGCCTTTTCGGGATTTCATCCAATCCGATCTAATCCCGTCCATTTTCGTCGATTCTGCATCCTTACATTAGCAGACGAGATCGGTGTCTGCAATTTTCAGCTGTTTCATTCGGTCTTATTTTTGTTGCAACTTATCGTTACTTTGATCCCAGCTATAGCTGTTGAAAGTGTTATTTTTCGATTTTCCAGTTCTTCCTTACCGGGAATTGACAACAAAGAACATCTTTTTTTCTTAAAAATAAAAAATAAACTACAAAATTTTCGTACTTTGTAAATCAGGATTTAACGTTTATTAAGTGCAGAGGAGAGGGACATTGTCTTAGTCAACTTGGCCCGAACATCAGGGTTTTAACGCCTGGTGTAAATTTCAGCAACATGTTGTCGAATACCCTTTATTACTTCCGGCATGTTTTCAACTACCCAAGTGAACCCGCACAATTATTTGAAACATCAACCATTTGATTAAACTACTCTGAGATTGTTATAAAAGGGTTAAAGTTTGAGAGAATAACCTTTTCAGTAGTAGGTGCAAGGTAGATGTAAAATGCCACACTACAACTTATAGCACAAGAGGATAACAAATAAAAGGCAAAGGAATAGATGATGTTACTGATATTTCTCTCTTGTTTTCTTCTTCTTATATATTATGTTTTTATGAAAACATGCGGAGTGCTCTATTTATAGAGCAACTCCAAACTGATGCAGTTAATGCATCTTGAAATTTATGAAATTTCGTCTGACTATACAATCACTTTCACTTTGCATGGCATTGAAAACTTTGCCCATGCTGAAGACTTTTGCTTTGTGGGCATTCATTGCCATCAGACATCAGACTTTTCAACAGAGATCTCCTTCAAGCATATTTATTGAGAAACAAACTTCACACCCGACGCTTTGGCCTCTCTTTACCCTCATCTCGTGTTTGGGATCACAAGCTCCCTTGAATCTCCACCCATCCACCCTTTTTTTTATCAGCGGATGGGTCAATTCGAACTTGAGACATCTTCCAACATTGAAAAAAGAAGTACCACCAATAATTTTGATGCCCTCGACCAACGCCAATAGTGGAAACTAGAGGAAGACCAAAAGACCAGATAATTGCATTAAAATGACTTTTCAATACACACTTAAAAGACTAGTACATTTACACAAAAGGGTGATGCCCTGGACACAATGGAATACTTCAGTCCACTGGAACCTTAGCATTCGAAAATATTCCAGGCAACTTTGAATCTATCTCTTTACAAAGGAATGGTAATAAATACAGCAAATATTCTTTAACAAAAATTCTTCAGGAGTCGAGAAATCAATGATTTTTTCGATCCCCTACTGTTACTAGGGAGCTGTATGCAAACATATCCATACAATTTTTAAATCCTGAGGTCCGCCACGAACACACTAACCCTAAAAGCTCAGAAATTTCGTGAAAACGATGCTCATCTGCGCAGAATCCATGAAGCAGTCCCAAAATAGTTTCCAGAGCAAGGAACAGCGTAAACATCACATTCTGTTCCAACGTATACCTCCATCCTTTTACACGAATATTCTGTTCCAACTTCCAAGCAATAGACTCCAAATGATCATCACATTGGACAATCAACATCATGTATAAAAAAACTTCTTACAAAATTTCATGTCATTGCAGCCAGGAACGGTTTATGATCCAGATAACAAGGTATCACTCCTAATGCAGTGGCCCTTGAAAAAACGTCTTACCCCAATGTATCAATTTCCTTCCCAGAATCATCCTCATTAATGTTTCTCCTCAACCTTCTTAGCCATATATCATGGTCCATGGGATATGGTGTCCCACATAGACTATCAACATAATCGGCAAATGCTTTCAACACAGTTGAGGCCTCACCTAACTTCTGCTGAATTAATCTCCTGGACCAAGAAGTCTCTCTCCACTGCAGTGCCCCCTCAACCGAATCAAGATCAGGTAAAACCCCACCACAGGAAATATAAAGCATGTAAACAAGGCTCTCTGCATCTGAAGCTGAGCATAGCTTTCCCTCCTGGAGAGCATAAGTTGAAGAGAAATGAAGGTTCATTGCAGGGCGGTCCCTATCGTCAAGAATGGCACGTCCCCAGCCAATAAGAACAAAATAAGGTTGCTTCTCGGCAGACCTGACACAAATCACATTCTCAGGCCTGATGTCTCCATGGCGAATTCCTGCAGAAGCGGCAGTTGAAAGTGCAGATAAGCAATCATGGCAACACCTGATCGCGTCCTCCATACCAAATCTGGCCTCGCTTATCATATGAGCCACTGTTTCACCAACTGGGCTGGTCACAAGAATCGGAGTGCCACACCAGGGGTGATCACAGTTTCCACCCGAGCTGGGTTTCTGACACTGACCAGGGTGAATAATCCTGCCAGAAGCACTTAACTGAGGTAGATACTTGCTAGATAGACCTTTCTGTTTCATAATAGTCAATATTTTCATCTGCCTCTGAACTTGATACCACAGATTCATATCCTCCCACGCGGGCTCCAGCTGGGAAGGATGAGAACCAACATATAGAAAGAAACTTCTCTGAGGTTCTTCAACGGGAGATGCAATGTAATATGGATGTTCATTATTATACAAGAGTTGACTGATATGGTAACCCTTTTGCCAGTTAGAATCCTCCAACCATAATACAGATCCTACTTCTAGCTTCATTAACTGTTCGGTCTCAATTTTAGCAGAATCATCGTGAACTTCAACGATTTCAGGGGATACACTGCGCTGCTGGAACCGATATAGACCATTTCCATTCGCCCCGGAATTCCCCAACTGCCTCTCAGTCCTTCTTGCTTGGAGGCGCGGACCATGATCAGCAGCTAAATCCTCTATTGAGTGCTTGGGAAATCCAGCAAATTGCACGATACAATGGAAGGTAGCAAAAAGTACCTGTAAGGCACCAACGTCTCCCCAGTTAGCATTTCCAACCTTGTTCCAGATCCTATCAATCGACGAGACTGCAATCCTAGAATGATTTGTAATCCATTCAGCAGCACATTCGTAAACATTATTGGCATCAAACACCATCTTATTTACATCTCCTTCAAGCTTTACTACCCCACCATACTGAGAATCAACAAGAAGAATAAACACAGAGTTTGAACTCTGAGAGTAGTTCATTCTGCTCAAGCTTCTTGATAATAGTACACGGATAGCATAGAAAAGGGCCTCGCCTAAAACAGATAGAGAAAGCTGCCTGTCACTATCCATGGAAAAGTTTCTGATATCAGGCCTTAAAAGAGACAGTTCAAGAATATGATCCCACCTCCCACGGGGATGTCTAGGGTTTGTAAGCAATAAACCAGTAGCACAAAGACCTCCAAGCTTACCATCCGCAACTGCCTTCTCAGCCTGGTAGAATTTTAAGTTTTCATTGTATAGACAAGCAACAGAAAAAGGCATGGGTCCATCCTGATTCCAGAATGCTTCCCACAATCCCTTAGCACCAGCATGTAAAAAATCTTCAAGGGCAAGATAAGCAGTTGCTTCAACAGCATCAGATGTTGAAGTGTGAACGGAATTGGGCATCCTAATCACCTGCTGAAACAAAATCCCTTCCAATGCATAGTCAAACTTTTGAAGTTCTATCATCTCAAAAGGCACATCAAAGGCCGGTTTCTTTGGTTCTGATTCACTGGATATAGATTCAAACCAGTCTTCCAGTTGTGCAGTAAGCATGCCACTGTCTACAAATCTATGAAGAAACTCCTTGCAGTTACGAGACCTACTGCCAGATGATGCACTAGACCTCTTTGTTCCAGACCCAACTGATTCCTGGTCTGGGGACACACCTGCCAAATAAAGTATAATGATGTTGATCAGCTAAATGGGATTCCAAACAAGAATATGCACATGAATCTACATGTGTGTGTTTGTGTACTATTTCTTCACGAGTGCATCCACACAATTGTTACTGATCGACTTTAAAAATGATAGAAAAGCTGTGCAGTTATCAAAATTTAACCATCAGTGGTTCTCTACCTTTTTCTATCACTTTTATAAGAATCACAAAAGCTTTATTAATGATGAGCGGAGAACAATAGAAATAAAATTGATCATAAATCCAACAAATCAAAAACTAATAAGAGTTTTTGCATCCTGTTAAAATCCGTGTTTGCACTTCATAGCTTTTTCTGGTCAAATGCTGTACCTTATATACATTATTCTTTGTTTCTGTTTTTCATTCTTGGTCATCCTTATATGATACACGTAATGCATTCCCTCATGGTTGTGACTCCTTGGG